TTGTATAATAACAAAAAGGTCTAATTACACTCACCGGCCACTTTATTAGGTACACCTTACTAGTAGCGGGTTGGATCCTCTTTTGCCTTCAGAACTGACTTAATCCTTTGTGGCATAGATTCAACAAGGTACTGGAAATATTCCTCAGAGATTTTGCTCCATATTGACATGATAGCATCACACAGTTGCAGCAGATTTGTCGGCTGCACATCCATGATGTGAATCTCCCGTTCCACCACATCCCAAAGGTGCTCTTGGATTGAGTTTTGGTGACAGTGAGTACAGTGAACTCGTCGTGTTTAAGAAACCAGTCTGATATTATTCAGGCTTTATGATATGGCACGTTATCCGGTTGGAAGTAGCCATCAGAAGATGTGTACACTGTGGTCATAAAGGGATGGACATGGTCAGAAACAATACTCAGGTAGGCTTAGGCGTTGACATGATGCTTAATTGGTACTAATGGGCCCAAAGTGTGCCAAGAAAATATCGCCCACACCATTACACCACCACAACCAGCCTGAACCATTGATACAAGGCAGGATGGATCCATGCTTTAAATTTGTTGACGCCAAATTCTGACCCGACCATCCAAATGTCACAGCAGATATCGAGACTCATCAGAGCAGGCAATGTTTCTCCAATCTGCTATTGTCCAGTTTTGGTGAACCTGTGTGAATTGTAGCCTCAGTTTCCTGTTCTTAGCTGACAGGAGCGGCACCCGGTGTGGTCTTCTGCTGCTGTAGCCCATCCGCCTCAAGGTTGGACGTGTTGTGTGTTCAGAGATGCTCTTCTGCAGACCTCGCTTGTAGCGAGTGGCTATTCGAGTTGCTGCTGCCTTTCTGTTAGCTGGAACCAATCTGGCCATTCTCCTCTGACATCAACAAGGCATTTGTGCAAACAGAACTGCCACTCACTGGATGTGTTCTCTTTTTTGAAACATTCTCTGTAAACCTTAGAGATGGTTGTGCGTGAAAATCCCTGTAGATCAGCAGGTTCTGAAATACTCAGACCAGCCCGTCTGGCAGCAACAACCATGCCACGTTCAAAGTCACTTAAATCATCTTTCTTCCCCATTCTGATGCTCAATTTGATCTGCAGCAGATCGTCTTGACCATGTCTACATGCCTAAATAAATTGAGTTACTCCCATGTGATTGGCTGATTAGAATTTTGCATGAACAACCAGTTGGACAGGTGTACCTCAAAGTCATTTGTTTATATTAGTATATTTGTTGTTGTGTTACCACAGCAACTATAGAATTACCACAGCAGATTAATCCAATTTCTTCACGAGTATATGATTCAAGAAAATTCACAAATTACAGTATTTATTTACTATAATATAGCTATAGTATTATTTCATGGAGGACCAAGAGTGCCAGTTAGAAATAAAACGAAGAATCAAGTTATCATTTTAATAATTGAAGCACAAAATTTTATCTAAATAAATCACAATTTAAATGAACAAATAATGGACAAATAGGCGACGCGGTGGCACAGTGGGTAGCACGTTCACCTCACAGCAAGAAGGTCGCTGGTTCAAGCCTCAGCTGGGTCAGCTGGTATTTCTGTGTGGAGTTCGCATGTTCTCCCCGTGTTTGCATGGGTTTCCTCCGGGTGCTCCGGTTTCCCCAACAAGTTGTACAGGTGAATTGGGTATGCTAAAATTTACCGTAGTGTGTGTGTGTGTGTGTGTGTGAATGAGAGTGTGTGGGTGTTTCCCATTGATGGGCTGCGGCTGGAAGGGCATCCGTTGTGTAAAAACATATGCTAGATAAGTTGGCGGTTCATTCCGCTCCGGCGACCCCAGATTAATAAAGGGACTAAGCCGACATGAGAATGAATTAATGGACAAATAAAAATAGATATTTAAATTGTCTTTTTAAATAAAGCAATATAATAATGCATTAAAAAATTACCTTTAAATGTATAAATAAATGTGTTATAAGTTCTATAATTTCTAATATTTAATCTAAAACGATTTATTAATAGGTGTTTTTTTATTGTTTTATTAATCAGCGTTTTAAAATAGAAATTAAAAAGTTATAAAATTGTCTATTTCATTCATTTCCCTTGCGCTTAGTTCCTTATTTATCAGGGGTTTCCACAGCGGAATGAACCGCCAACTATTCCAGCAAATATTTTACGCAGCGAATGCTCTTCCAGCCGCAACCCAGTACTGGGAAACACCCACACACTAATATCACTATAGACAATTAAGTTAATCCAATTCACCGATAGTGCATGTGCTTGAACTGTGGGGGAAACTGAAGAAAACCCACGCCAACACGGACAGAACATGCAAACTCCACACAGAAATGCCTCTTGCTGTGAGACGACAGTGCTAACCACTGAGCCACTTATTTATTTAATTAATTCAATTATTAAATTGATATTTTGATTCTTGAATTTATTTCTAACCAGCACTCCTGCTCCTCCATATTCCTTCATGTGAGTTTGCTGTGTACTGAAACCTAAGCGGTGTCTTGTTTGGTTTCTAATGAACTTCCTGCCCCCGAGTGACTCATTTGAGAGCGATCGTGTGTGAACGTGTTTGTAAATGACGAAGCGAAGCCTATTGGGTTCTGGCATCGGTGAAATGTTTAATTACAAAGAAACCCACAGTGACAAAATAGGACAAACGGTGTGAAATAAGCACGAGGACTGTTACAGGACCCGCAGAGTGGCTTCTCTTCTTCTTTTAAAATACTGTAATAGATTTAATTTAAATGAGGCGGCACGTGCCAAATGAAGAAAATAACAACAGACAAAATACTTATAAAAATATGCCATTAGATTCATATGAACAATCGTGGACCGTGAGAGCACTATGTACAGAGAAAGGCAATATATACCAAAATATTTACAATAAACATCGATGCTGTCTTTCACTAGAAAGGGCTTACAACAGTAAGACTCCACAATCATCACTGGCTGATTTAGATATCTCGATTAAAAAGCGAACTAATGGTTTATGAAAATATGATTCTCCTGTTCATAAGAAGTCACGCTTTCATAGCTCTGACATCACATCCTTCAGGTCATTGGGTGTGTTTTTGTGACTGATTCACTTCTTTCCAGACAGACAAAAGGCAGCTGGAATAGCTCACTGAACAGTAAGTCTTCACAGGCAGAGCGGTTTAGTAGTTTATAATGCAGATGAAGGGCTGAAACCCGTCTGACTTCATTCTGTACGTCATCACCTATAAACACACACTCATAAACATCAGAATATATCTAACTCTGTTGGTCAAATCGATGCAGGATCATCATTTAAGAAGCAACGCAGTTCCCTTTCCTGAATTATCATGGCCATGAAAACAATCATTGAAATAACAACCTGTAAAGCAGGGGTGTCCAAACCCGGTTCTGGAGGGCCGGTGTCCTGCATAGTTTAGCTCCAACTTGCCTCAACACACCTGCAAGGATGTTTCTGGAAAGCCTAGTAAGAGCTTGACTAGCTAGCCCAGGTGTGTCTGACTGGGGTCGGAACTAAAATTGCAGGACACCGGCCCTCTAGGATTGAGTTTGGGCACCCATGATGTAAAACATAGGTGTCAAAGTCAACTCCTGGAGGGCAGCAGCTCTGCACAGCTTTGCTTCAACCCTTATCAAACACAGCTGATGCAACCAATCAAGGTGTTTAAGAGAATCTCGATTATTTGGATCAGCTGTGTTTGATTAGGGCTAGAGCAAAACTGTGCAGAGCTGCGACCCTCCAGGAATTGACTTTGACACCTAATGTAAAGCAGGGGTGCACTAACTCGGTCTTGGAAGGCTGGTGTCCTGCATATTTTAGTTCTAACCCAATTAGACACACCTGAACCAGCTAATCAAGCTCTTTCTAGGTACACTAAAACTTCCAGGCATGTGTGCTGAAGGAAGTTGGAGCCAAACTATGCAGGACACCGGACTTCCAGGACCGGGTTTGGACAGACCGGCTGTAAAGGAATATGTCCAGGTTATATTTCATTCTGAAAAGGTTATTTTTTTTATAAAATATATGCTTTTTTTAGTTCAGGGAAGAATGAAAATGCAGTGAAGTGATTTAAAAAAAAAGAGCTGATGTGATTAAATTTACCTGGAAATAACGAACATGAAGTACATGATGTAAGTGAGATTGTTTGTTATTTTACCACTACATTTTTATATATTTAGATTTTTAGGGTGAAATAACCCATTATTTTCACCTTAAAATAATAATAAAAAAAATTATCCATATTTTTTTAAACATTATTCTCACAGCAACACACCACAGTTTCCCCAAATTAGACTTGCCAAGTTTATATATATTAAAAAAAAAAAAAATAAATTTAAAAAAAAAAAAAAAAAAAAAAAAAAAAAAAAAAAATATATATATATATATATATATATATATATATATATATATATATATATTTTTTTTTTTTTTAATATATATATATATATTTGTAATTTGTATTCAATTTTATATAGCTGCCTGGAAAGAATGAAACTTGCATTACATTATAAATCAAATTAGATTCATTTAATCTAATGAGATTAAAATGAGGGAACTATATTTAAGGGTCAATCAAATGTAATAGGAAAGCATATTTTTTTCAAAAATAATTAGCCTTCAGCTCCATTTCAAAGTTTAATTGTCACAACATTGCAATGTAATACCAATCAATACTAAAGTTTGAAAAATGTCCATTTCCTCCTAATATGTGAGCGCTGTTGAACTTAAACAGCAATGATTCACCATTATGTTTATGTGCTCAACAGAAATGACTATGATTGGCTGTGAAGGGGTCATCAGTTCACCGAACTCACCGCTGTTTACTGAGTGTAAACACAGATACATAGATCAGCTGGTTTGTCTATAAATCACTTTAAATCACTTTTGTCTATGAATCACGGCTTTAAAATGCTCCAGTGTCCCTGTATCTGTTGTTACACTCAGTAAACAGCGGTGAGTTCGGTAAACTGATGACCTTCACGGCCAATCATAGTCATTTCTGTTGAGCATGGCAACACAATGGAAAATCAGCGCTGTTTAAGAACACACTCAAATGTTAGCGTGAAATAAACGTTTTTAAAATTTCAGTATCGATTAGTATCAAATTCCAGTATCATGTCAACCCTATTTCAAAGTACGCCATTATTAGAGGGAAATCTGCTTAATTGTGTTAAAAATAATGCAGATCTTAATGCAAAACTATTTTAAATGTTAGTTTATTTTGATTTTAAGAATGAAATATAACCTGGATGTTTCATCAAGCTATAATCTTTGAATAATCTCACGAATGCAACCCTACCCAATGTCAAAACCTTTCAGCAGAAAAAAAACAAGCCCCGCCAGACTACGCTTTATTTATAAATTAAGTGCTATGTAAAAAAAAGACGTAACTAAAAATGAAAAACATAAATACTGTACAAAACGATTTCTTTTGTCACAATACCTATATATGGAATGTCATTGCGGTACATAACATAGTGAAGACGTAATCTTTTTTTTATACATAAACATGATTCGATAACCGAAAGAATAAAGTGATAATGTGTAATAACTCTGACGGTGAGTTTGTTGATTATTGGAGTGTTAAAGTGTGTGTGTTTGTGAGTGATATAGCGGTTTTGTAGGTACTCTAGCCTTATATTGCACATTGGTTACGTAAGAATAACTCTCGGCACAAATAGAGAGCTTTAACAAAAACAAAAACTTCATTCTCCAATGAAATCACAGTCTTTCTAGACCAGTAGTTGACCATATAGTGTGCGGACTGACCTCTACGATGAAAAAAAACCCCCGTCTTTAACATCCATTACCCACAATCCTCCCTGCTTCAGCATTTAAACCCATTTATATTACGTAAATTTACATTAATGTAAATTTGAACCGTCTCTCGATCAATTCTTTTCTCTTTCCTCCGCTTTTCCAAACGTACACGATATCAAAAGCGCCCACAGGAAACATCACATTGCAAAGCGCGATCAATATTTTACACCATTTACGAAATACACAACGTAACGTAATTTGTCGACGTCTTACAAGCGCATCACCAGAGAACAGAAAGGGGGCGGGGTTTTGGGGTGAAGTGCATGGGCGTGTCCAGCAGCTTGTACGTAGAGGAGGCGGGGCTTTTGTTAGACACGCCACAGCAATAGGTGGTTGGTGCTGTCGTCCCGCCCCACCGTCTCGCTGCTATTGGTCAGTCTGAAGTCTTCATAGCCATCGCCGCCGCTGATGACCAGCAGGTTGGATTTGGTGGGGAGGAGGGTGGAGGCGCGTCGTCTGGCTGAATCTCGCCTCTGTAGGCCTCCCGTGCCGCTGTCTGAGCTGTTCTGTGATGCTACAATATTAACACACACATATGGTTGATAAAATGTCTAGTCAAATATTATTTACTGTCATCATGGCAAAGATAAAAACAATCAGTTATTAGAGATGAGCTATTAAAACTATTATGTTTAGAAATGTGTTGAAAACATCTCGTTAAACAGAAAGTGGGGAAACAAATATACAAGGGGGCTAATAATTCAGAAGTAGAGATCTGCGCGGGACTAAATTTTGAATCCCGCTCCCGCCCGCACCCGCCAGGTTTTAGCCCAAACCCGACCGCTCCCGCTTATATTAAGAATATGTTGTCCCGCTGCCCGACCCGCCCCATTTTCTACCCGCCGCGCCCGATCCCGCTAAAGAGCGGGGGAGAACAAAACCGAAAATCACCCAGCTATACAGTCAAGCTGTCTGTATAAACACACACACAGCACCAAGCACACACACAGACAAAGCTCTCTCTCATTCGCATAGCAATATCCGCGATATTGCTAGACAGCCCGCTCCTGTCCCAAATTAAACCCGTTACCGACCGCTCCCGCTATTTATTTGTAAATTTATTCGGGAATGCAGACCTCTATTCAGAAGGGCTAATAATACTGACTTCAACTGTACATCACATGACTTTAGGTAAATATAAACCTTTAGGTAAAAATAAAATATTTAGGTGAATATAAAATAAAATAAATAATAATAATAATAATAATAATAATAAAATAAAAATAATACATTTTATAAATATTATAAATTAACAATAAAAATAAACACTAGTATCATCTAAAATATCTTCTTAAATAGTCATAGATTCAACTTTTTTTCTTTATCTTTAATGTAAACAAAGCGAACCACTTTTTAACCATGTGTGTTGTCTGTCGATACGTAGCAGCTAATGTCTCAGAGGAATTTTAAAAATATTGCATTGTCATAATTATGTTTAGCCCTTTTCATCCTTCAAGGCACACGGGGCATATCATTTTTAACTTTTAAAAGCATATTTTAATTTTAACGTTGACGCTTTATTTTTATTTGTTTGTTTGTTTTTTACACATAAGCACAGTACAGTGTTAACGTTCAAACTATTTATAATGTTTAAAGTGGCTGACAATAAATATTGTTAATAATAGGAATTAATCTGGCTCGTTTTTAAACTGTGCAGTGCTGTAGCTGCTTCATCGGGCCAACTACGCTACTGTATTTCAATACTGGTCATTATGGTGGTACTTGGAGACACAGATCTTTTCTGACGTAGTACTTGATGAAAAAGTTTGAGAACCACTGCTATAGAAAATATTAATTTAAATGAGAGATTTGTAAGGGGTGTTTTCATATTCGTTAAGCACTATATCTATGGGAACTATTGTATGAATTCAATAAAAGCATTACCATAATACAACTATGCACTCAAAAAATGTGCACCCAGTGATTCAAAAGTTGTATTCTGATAGCAGTGGCGTACACACAGCAATACACGCAGCAAGACTGGTGACAGAGTGGTTTGATGAACATGGCCTGCACCATCACCCGATCCAAATATTATTGAGCCACTTTGGGGTGTTTGTGAGGAGCGAGTCCGGAAAGGTTTTGCTCTACCAGCATCACAGAGTGACCTGAACACTATTCTGCAAGAAGAATGTTTTAAAATCCTGTGCAGGACTGGTATCTGTCATTCCCAAGACAAACTAATGCTGTATCGACCGCAAATGGATGCTGTACATCATACTAATGAACTATTGTGGTGTAAAACCATGCGTTTCAGTTTAATTTTCCAACCCTTGCAGGAAGAGTAATAATTTAAATGCAATCACATAATTATTAAGGCAACTTACTATAAAATGGGACCCATTTCTGCAATGCACATGTAATCAGCATGTCGTGTTTATTTATTGAGTAGCGCACCTGACTCTGCTGGCGGAGGAAAAGACACGTCGAATCCCTCTGGCAGCTCGATGCAGGTCAGAAAGCGCACATGTCCAGTGTGTCCGTGAGCAGAGCCCATGGGGATCAGCGGGACACGCAGAGATCCAGATCCTGTGCTGGAGGACACCGGCGGGACCACCAGAGTCAACACCACCCCTGCACTGGTGCCGATCCACAGCAGATCCTTACAGGCCAGAAGAGCTGTGATCCGCAAACACGCCGCCTTGTGCTGACGTATAATAGCATCAGAGCCTAGCAGAGCAAGTCACACAGCGACATATGAGTTTATTATTAACCTAAAGGTCACTAATAGCACAACAATTCACATTTGAAACCGTGTTAAAAGGACAGTTCACCGCAAAGAATTAAAATATACTGATAATAGCATCGATTAATATTCTAATTGTTGTACCGTTATATTAATATTCTGGCATCTTTATAAATAAAACGTCAGTATACAGTACCTGCCAGCATCTTGTGAACGGCTGGAGCGACGTCGACCTCAGTGAGACTCTCGTATGTGGAGGAGTGATAGAGACGCACCTGAGCGCTGCCCTGCAGAGCGATCCAGACACCTTTACCAAAACACACCATACTGGTCACGCAGCGCCCGCTGTCCTGACCCACCTGAAACCAGTGCTGGACAACACAAACACATCTATTTACTTAATATATATTTTTAAACTATTCACTTAAATAAACACTGGATATAATCATCTTTTTTTTATAAATGTCATTTATGTTATTACACGGCTGACTAGAATACTCGATTCTGATTGGTCAGTTAAGACATTCCAAGATAAGTTATTCCCAGATAATGGCTCAACAACACAGGATCATCAGGGTACTTTGAAGCACCTTGACCGTCAGTGAAGACGTTCAAATGCATATATACTTATATCGACAATCATGTGTATCTGCTTGTCTGTAACACTATTGTTTCTGACTATTTGGTGCCATCTTAATGAATGAATAATCGTTTTGTTTCTGTCAGCTTTGTGTTTTTTGACTGTTTGGTGCCATATGTGACAATAATGTGCAGGTTAGTGTATACTCCATCAGCTCTTTTAGTTTCTGTCAGCTTTGTGTTTTTGACTGTTTGGCGCCATATTGTGTCTGAATAATGCACAGGTTAGTGTATACTCCATTGGCTGTTTTCATTTATGTCAGCTTTGTGTTTTTTTTGACTGTTTGGTGCCATCTTGTGTCTGAATAATGCACAGGTTATTGTATACTCCATCAGCTGTTTTAGTTTTTGTCAGCTTTGTGTTTTTTGACTGTTTGCCGCCATCTTGTGACTGAATAATGCACAGGTTAGTGTATACTCCATCAGCTGTTTTAGTTTTTGTCAGCTTTGTGTTTTTTGACTGTTTGGTGCCATATTGTGACTGAATAATGCACAGGTTAGTGTATACTCCATCGGCTGTTTTCGTTTCTGTCCGCTTTGTGTTTTTGACTGTTTGGTGCCATCTTGTGTCTGAATAATGCACAAGTTAGTGTATACTCCATCAGCTGTTTTAGTTTCTGTCAGCTTTGTGTTTTTTTTGACTGTTTGGTGCCATCTTGTGACTGAATAATGCACAGGTTATTGTATACTCCATCAGCTGTTTTTGTTTCTGTCTGCTTTCCATTTTTGACTGTTTGGTGCCATCTTGTGTCTGAATAATGCATAGGTTAGTGTATTCTCCATCAGCTGTTTTTGTTTCTGTCAGCGTTGTGTTTAATTAAATAATTAATAAACTATTACATTTCAGAACAATGTTTTATGTAAAATCTATATGTTTTGTGGCAAGCAGATGTAATAAGCAGTAGGAACAGCTGATTTGCAGAATAAGTTTTAGTTTTATACAACAATGCTCTGCTTCACGATGGGCAGCCAGTAAAACTATCAGGCTTTATTCTGTGATACAACCTCCCAGATGTACTTAATCCGTAACTTAATAATATCAGCTAAATATAATAATATCAGCTTTTACTAAATAGAATCATCTTTTACAGCAAATTGTTGTCATTAGTGTCTAACCTCTTGTGTTAAAGTGCTGGTGTTGATGATAAGGATGCGGTTCTGACAGCCACACCACAGTTTTCCCGCCACAGGAACCATTTTAGTCACAGGTCCGCTTGGAGACCCGAGACACAGAGTCTGAGAGCTCTGAGGATCCCAGAAACTCCCTATGACACAGAAAAAACACATGCACAGATAAAGACTTAAATATTAGAGAAATTTTTATTCTTTTTTCAAACATTTCTCAAGTGCTGTTTAACAGAGCAAGACATTTTTTCACACTGTTTCCTATTACAGTGTATTTTATTTTGGAGAAAGTCTCATTTTTTTGTGTTTGCCTAAAAAAATTAGATTTTTTTTAAACTGCTTAGGTAAATTGTATTATCCCCCTTATTAAACAGTTTTTCAGATTGGCTACAAAACAAATCCCTGTTGTCCAATGACTTGCTTGATTAACCTAACTTGCCTAGTTAACCTAATTAATCTAGTTAATCCTTTAAATTGCTGAATACAAACATCTTGCAAAAAATAAGTAAATAAAATATTCTGTACTGTTATCCTGGCAAAATATAATTAAAAACTAATTATTAACAATATTTTTAGGGATGCAATACACTGGTGATCATTAAGGGTGTCAAAACGAATTATTTCTTCGATGGTCCCCAATGCAGATGCGAACAATTCGGTATCGGTTCAGTAATAATCATAACCAGTTCTTATGTACTGACGTCATTTATTACATATGCATCATATGGCAGTAGCTTCATAAAGGAGGAGACCGCAAGTAATTAAAACGCTCCAACTTGTGAGTCTTTACTGAAAGGGAAGTACATCAGAACTCAGCTAGAAAAAAAGAGAGCTGTACACTCCCTCTCTCTCTCGCTCTCTGTGACCACTTTGACGTGCTGGCATGTTCGTGAGGTGTTTTATCTCCTCTTTCGGCTCTTACAACAATAGCATTACATGTGGATCCAGACACAAGCGTGTCCGCACAGCTAGTTTTCTCCACCGCGTCGCAGTCCAGCCGTTATCAACAGTGTCCGTGTCACTGTTTGCTGAAGCAGTGCTGGCCGTTCAAGCCAATCGCAATTGATCAATCATAGGTGTTGAAGAACTCGATTAACATCGCTCAAAAAGCAAGTGGGATCATATTTATATTTCTTAATTTGCTATAAATGCTCTTGTTGTTCTGTGCATGTAGTTTAGTTTTGTTAGATACATCTAGAAAGAGTGTTTTCTTTGAGCAGGTCAAATTAAAGGTACAGTTCACTGCTTGTATTAAAGGACAAAATTGTATTACAAATAACATATACAGTCGAAGTCAGAATTATTAGCCTCCTTTTGATTTTATTTTATTTTTTAAATATTTCCCATATGATGTTTAACAGAGCTAGGAAATATTCACAGTAAGTCTGATAATATTTTTTCTTCTGAAAAATCTTTTTTTTTTTTGGCTAGATTAAAAGCAGTTCTTAATTTAAAAACCATTTTTGGGATAAAATTATTAGCCCCTTTAAGCAAATTTTTTTTTTCAATAGTCTGTAGAACAAACCATTATTATACAATAACTTACCTAATTACCCTAACCTGCCTAGTTAACCTAATTAACCTAGTTAAGCCTTTAAATGTCACTTTAAGCTGTATAGAAGTGTCTTGAAAAATATCTAGTCAAATGTTATTTACTTTCATCATGGCAAAGATAAAATAAATCAGTTAATAGAAATGAGTTTTTAAAACTATTATGCTTAGAAATGTGCTGAAACAATCTTCCCTCCATTAAACAGAAATTGGGGAAAAAAATAAACAGGGGTGCTAATAATACAGGGGGGCTAATAATTCTGACTTCAACTGTACATATATTTATAAATTCTGAAATTTAAAACAAGATTTATTGTGTTGCTAAGTAAAATATAAAATTGTGTATGGAAAGCATCGTCGATGCACCAAGATATCGAATTGAACTAATCGATGGCATGATAATCATAACTAAACCGAATTGTGAGACCAGTGTAGGTTCACACCCCTTGTGGTCATATTGATATAGGCTGATAAATTATATTCTTAATGTCATCATTATTGGTTTGATAACAAAATTAGGCTGAAAGCTTAAGCCGATAAATTATGTATTATTTCCGCTGATTGAACCACTTCTCATGCCAGTTACAATTATTGTACTGGTGTTTTGATTTTGTTAATGTGATTTGTTTGCTTTATTGATGCTTTTTTTTTTTGTTAAGCTCTATATTTTATTTACATAACAGAAAGTTAGCCACAAAAAAGAATAGTTGATTAATAATGTTCAGAGATCCGTTCAAACTTTTCTGAAGGTAAGGTTTTAAAATAAAATCAGCTGTTTAATGTTTGTGCTTGCAATCATGCAGAAACATTAGTAAAATCGGCTAACTTATTAGTATATCGGCAAGTTATCGGTATCAGTCAAAAATGTTATATTTGTAAATCCCTTACTATTATGTTTAAAAATGTATTAAAAATATCTCTGTTAAACATCACCTAGAAAATATTTTAAAAAACTAATTTGAATAATAATATTTTTGTCAGTCATATCAGCTGTAATGGAATGATTGTGAGCTTACCTGCCTCCCGCTGATACACAATAACCTCTCCGTTTGCCAGAGACACAAACACTTTATTGTCAAGATACCTGGGAATAACAATAATAATAATAACAATATAATAATAATAACAATAATAATAAAAAATCACTGAGTCTCCATGCTGAAAGTGTATTGATCATAGAGGAGAGAGTCTGCTTACAGGATACAAAGGACTGAAGCCGAGTGTTGCATCTTCATACTGTTCTTCCGGTTTCTGATGTTGTCTGATGACTGGTAAACATGGATGCTGAAAGAAAACAGACAGATTTTAATAGGAGTTATTTCCGTACTGCTTATTTTTGGTAAATCACAAACATAATTTACGCTGCTGTTTGGATATATTACTTCAACACATATATAGCGTTATGGTACAGTGTAAATGATATCTGCTAAGTACAGTTTCCGCATTTTATAAGTGCTTTCTGTTTATTTACAGTTGTGAATTGCATTAAGGGATGTTGATCTCCGCTCTGTCGACTTCTGATGTTGAAAATTCAACTCTACAGGTTAATGAAGTGATTGTTGTTTTAGAAGTTTAGAAAAATATAATGTATAAGAAATAATATATAGAGAAATAAGTATGTAAAATAACAGAAAATGTATTGGCGGTTTATTACAAGGTTTTTGTAGCGTAATATACAACACCAACCCAGACAATAAAAATTGAAACTATTAAAAATCAAAAAGGCACCTTTTCCATCTTTTCAAGTTTAAAGGTTGTTGGAGAAAATATCAATATCCCATAATGCAATTCACAAGCAAAAATAAAGGGGAACATTTTTAAAATAAAAACATGAATCACAAAATATGAAAAACAACTCATTTACATTTCCCCCCATAGTTAACACAATGTTCAGTCAAAAATGGACAATTTTTTGGGTTTGTCATATTTGTCCCAACATTGTGTTACAACAACGCAGCATGTTTTAGATTGAAAGCTGACATCTTTAAAAAATACTGGGTTATTATAACATAACATTGGGTCTAATAAGGACAAACTCATCTTAGGGAATTTTCTTTTTTTGTGTGTGTGTGTGTGTGTGACCCTTTTTAACCCTACATTTGGGTTTGCCCATATTTGACCCAAAGTTGGGTTGCAACAACCCAGCATTTTTTATAATGTTGAGTTTATTTTTAATGTTTTTGGGAGTCTTTGGGGATTAAAAATGCAGAGAAAAAAATTAGTGTAGTGAAATATTATTACTATTTGAAAAACAGTGTGTTTCTATTAGGACATTTATAAAACTGTAATTCATTCCTGAAACACAAATGAAAATTTGATTTGTTTTTATTTTCATTTCATCACACAAGCAGACAGAAATCATATTAGAAATAAGGTCATCTGATCATCATCAATGATGAGTTGAAAAGAGTGGCAACACGGTGGCTCAGTGGTTAGCACGGTTGCCTTACAGCAAGAAGGTCACTGGTTCGAGTCTTGGCTGGGTCAGTTGGCATTTCTGTGTGGAGTTTGCATGTTCTCCCTGTGTTGGCGTTGGCTTTCTCTGGGTGCTCCGGTTTACCCCACAGTCCAAACACATGCGCTATAGGGGAATTGAATAAAGTAAATTGGCACTAGTGTTTGTGTGTGAATGAGTGTGTATGAGTATGAGTATGGGCATCCGCTGTGTAAAACATACTCTGAATAAGTTAGCGGTTCATTCTGCTTTGGTGACCCCTAATTAATAAAGGGACTAAGCTGAAGGAAAATAAATGAATGAATGAGATTAAAAGAACAGGATTTATTTGGAAGGTAACCTTATGGTAATTTTAGAAATGTCTTCACTGCCACTTTTTTCAATTGTATGTGTCCTTGCTGGGAAAAAAAAAAAAAAAAAAAAATTATATATATATATATATATATATATATATATATATATATATATATATATATATATAGAGTAGAACAGTAGAAAAAAAACCTAATGCCAACGACACTGGATAAAGAAAGTCTTGACAGTAATACAGAATATGGTAACAGAAAATCCAAAGTCATATTCATCACTACACGAAGTCTGACTCAGCACAGAATAAATGCAATCTACCAGTGGATATATCCATTCAGACAGACGTGCAGCTGTGTTATGTGTACATGAGGCTCAGACTGTCATCACTGTAATCACGCAGCTAAACACAATCAGCTGCATTTCTCACAGTAGACAGACGCTATTGATACTATGCATCACAGTGCACGCAACGCAAGACTTAAATGCACCATTATCAAAGATATAACTCAATAATACACTGCATACTGATGTAAAGTTGTCTATTTAATTATTATTTTATTATTATTATTTAGAGTTTGTTTGAAGTCAGAATTATTAGCCCCCCTGTTTATTTTTGTCCCCGTTTTCTATTTAATGGAGAGCAGATTTCTTTAACACATTTCTAAACATAATAGTTTTAATAACTCATCTCTAATAACTGATTTATTTTATCTTTGCCATGATGACAGTAAATAACATTTGACTAGATATTTTTCAAAACACTTCTATACAGCTTAAAGTGACATTTAAAGGCTTAACTAGGTTAATCAGGTTAACTAGGCAGGTTAGGGTAATTAGGCAAGTTATTGTATAATAATGGTTTGTTCTGTGGACTATTGAAAAAAATATATAGCTTAAAGAGGCTAATAATTTTGTCCTTAAAATGGTGTTTAAAAAATTTAAAACTGCTTTTATTCTAGCCGAAATATAACAAATAAGACTTTCTCCAGAAGAAAAAAATATTATCAGACATACTGTGAAAATTTCTTTGCTCTGTTAAACATCATTTGGGAAATATTTAAAAAAAGAGAAAAAAAATGTATAATTATTTTTTATAATTCTGACTTCAACTAGGGATCCCTTCAAATTCATCAACACGCACGTTCGCGTTCATCAAATTTGCTTAAACTAAGCGTACTAAAGTAAGGCTGTATTTTCAAGCAAAGATTCTGACAGAGTAACGTGAAGCAGACGCTTTACAAACGGGGGAAACACGTCAAACTTATGAAATGTGAGGGCTCATGGATGCAGCTTAAAGGCAGAGAATAGTGGCTGTGGCTGTCTTTGACAGCTTGCGACTTCATTTGCCACTTTCACTGAGTACATTTACATGGACACCAATACTCCGCTTTTATGATTAAGATACTGTACTACTGATTAAGAGTCTACCTTGTAATCAGCGATTTTTAAATACCTTAAAGAATCATGCGAGTCCCGAAATGCGGAGGTTTTCTTTCTGTTCGCCATGCGGTATCAAATTCCATTAAAACACCCTGAATGAAAATATGCTGAATGAGAGTGAACTGCAGATAAAGTCTCAAGATTAAAAATGAAACACCCGAAATTGCATGAAACTCTGGAGGAAACGCTGGATAGCCAGGTAATGCGACATTGTTTTATACTGAAACTTTCCTTCTAAAAGCGCGTCCTTGGTATTATTCAAATTTCTTTGCACGTTAAACACACGCAGAGCCGGCGCGAGCTGAAGTAGCGTTGTAGGCAAACAGCAATCATGTCGCCCTCAACCCGAAAGTGACCGGTTTGAGGATGAAAGTAAGGACCGTAAGGGAGGGGGTGGATGTAGCGGATGAAAGAGAGGACTGGGGGGTTCGCTCACTATTCTGCTGCCCAAGACGGCCGCCTAGGTTACCTCTATGCACGCCCCATCCCTAAACACACGTCAGCCGCAAAAGGAAATAAAAAAGAAAAAACTGCAACTGCGTTTGTTTTTTCCACGTTAAAAATTTCAAATTAATCACGAGTGCTAACGTGCTAATTTTGACAGCCCTAATATATATATATATATATATATATATATATATATATACATATATATTTTTTTAACTTAGCTGTATTATATTTAAAATAAGTATTCAGTTAATTTATTTGTGCTTCAACATTTCTAAACTTCTTATTTATTATATTAGTTATTTAAAAAAAGTTTTAGCAGTTTTAATACCTTTTTAAGGTTAGTCAGGTTAGTAAGGTTAATATACAGTGTACTACTGCAATATTGCACTGTTAAACAGACACTAATTTAACACATTTTTAGACAATAGTTTTAATAACGAATTATTAACAACAAAATTTATTTTCTCTTTCAACAATTACAGTACGTAAAATTGAATTAGATATTTTGCAAGGTAGTATTTAGTTTAAAAGTTTAACTAGATTAATTGGGCAAGACAACCGTGGCCAATCTGTAGCCAATCAAAACAAAATTAAGCAAATTTTAAAATTAATTTAAAAGTATTTTTTAAATGATAATAATATATTTTTTAATATAAATAAATAAAAATGATTACAGCCAAACTAAACAAATAAGAAAAATATAATACAATTTAGTATGAAAATGTCCTAGCTCTGTTAAATATCAATTAATTAATTTTTCACATGCAGTAGGGCATAATAAGTTAAATGCAATAATCAACTCTACGTAACTAGGAATGAAATGCATGACACAGACAGCTTTGCAGTGTTTTTGGTTTGTTTTGTCTGTGGATTGGCAGTGAGGCATGAGAAATGCTTTACACCTGTGTGTGTGTGTGAGTTGGAAAGCAGGAGAGTGTGAGTAATGTTTATATGGAAAGTGGCAAGATGCTCTGAGGACATGGGCAGGCCTGAACAGGAGTTAATGATGATGCTCTCTGTGGGAACACTGGATTCACATCAAGGTCACCCGAGGAGAGTTAAAACCCAACAGGAGCAGCAGGAGGAGGATGTTTATGCAGGACAACAGCACTGCTGTAATGAGGCCCGGGGGCTTACAATGATGTTTCAACACTAGTTTAATAATAACTTCCAATAGTTACGTTGACACATTATCTAACAGATCATTAATTTTACATTCAAACAGTCTGGATTGACATGAAATGGACTGATATAAGTAAACAGGGTTGTTTGTCAGAAGCTTAAAGAAAAGAAAAAAACAAATGAACAAAACATTTAAATCTTGAACATGGCATTATTTCCCTAATTTTGACCTAAATTCGTGACTAAATTCGTAAATTTATCTTGTGACTGAATAATGCGCAGGTTAGTGTATACTCCATCAGCTGTTTTTGTTTCTGTCTGCTTTACATTTTTGACTGTTTGGCGCCATCTTGTGTCTGAATAATGCGCAGGTTAGTGTATACTCCATCAGCTGTTTCGTTTCTGTCTGCTTTATTTTTTTGACTGTTTGGCGCCATCTTGTGTCTGAATAATGCGCAGGTTAGTGTATACTCCATCAGCTGTTTCGTTTCTGTCAGCTTTGCGTTTTTGACTGTTTGGCGCCATCTTGTGCCTGAATAATGCCCAGGTTAGTGTATACTCCATCAGCTGTTTCGTTTCTGTCAGCTTTGCGTTTTTGACTGTTTGGCGACATCTTGTGTCTGAATAATGCGCAGGTTAGTGTATACTCCATCAGCTGTTTAGTTTCTGTCTGCTTTACATTATTGACTGTTTGGCGCCATCTTGTGCCTGAATAATGCGCAGGTTAGTGTATACTCCATCAGCTGTTTAGTTTCTGTCTGCTTTACATTATTGACTGTTTGGCGCCATCTTGTGCCTGAATAATGCGCAGGTTAGTGTATACTCCATCAGCTGTTTCGTTTATGTCAGCTTTGCAATTTTGACTGTTTGGCGCCATCTTGTGTCTGAATAATGCGCAGGTTAGTGTATACTCCATCGGCTGTTTTTGTTTCTGTCAACTTTGTGTTTTTGACTGTAAGGCGCCATCTTGTGTCTGAATAATGCCCAGGTTAGTGTATACTCCATCAGCTGTTTCGTTTCTGTCATTGCGTTTTTGACTGTTTGGCACGTGCATCTTCCTCTGCTTGTGAACTCGTAAACGAACACTTGCGATCGGTTCATGAGATCGGCCAGATCAGCGAGTACCAATCAAGTCATGAAATGTGATTAACGGCCAATACCGATCTCCGGGCAATCGATCAGAGCATCCATACGTGTTATTATTGCAAAACCACAATTTAACCAATCTACCATCTAACTTTTAAATAGGCCAACTGAATGCCAGCTAAAGACATGCCTGAACACTTATAATGACCGATGACTACATTAGCAAACATTATTGGATGATTTTAATAAATACCATGTAAAAAAAATAATTTGTTCTAAAAAGCAAACATGAAAAAATATTACAGAATTTTATAGCAAATAATACAGTACTTTTGAACCATACTAAAGTATATTTATAAAACCTTTCTGTCTGGTTCTCGATTCTGAATCTGGCTGATAGCCATGAGATATTCTGCAATATCAGAACTCGTACAGCCTCTTCACTCTAGTGTATTACTCCGCCCACATAGAGTGACAAGCAGATCACTAAACTCACTTCAGTTTGACAAATATTGCAGCTGTTGGACAACATAATGCACTTTTGAGTCTTTTTAAGGCAAGGATGTAGTTGATTAGATTGCAACTATGCAGTTTATTTATAAGGACAGGGATTTATTTTAAATGTTCATAATTTCAGAGATTCAGTGCCTCGGCAGTCATTAGCCTGTCAAACTGAGCAGAGCAAAGACGGTTCACATTCCACCACAAGATGACGACAGAGACCACATTATAAGTCCTTAGCGGAAAAAAACAGCTTCAAACGTAAGTTTCAAACTACAGCTGCAGATGTGAATGAACAGCGGAAGAAAGTAGTTCCTCGTACAAGAGGGTTTTTGAGACTCTCCGTGTTTTTTTTTTTTTTTTATATACATGGTTATGCTGTCTGACTGTTGTATAAATGCAATATCACTCTCGTAATAGTGCGATATGGCTGTATATCATCACTGGTGGGGAACTAAGGCACTCGGCCTGCAGCCTCGAGCCAACATACCAGTGCCGAAATACGGCCATAACGCACTGCTACGAGTGTCTATATATATATATATATATATACACACATACATATATATATATATATATATATATATATATATATATATATTTACATACATATATATACACATATATATATATATATATATATATATATATATATATAGACATAATCTGGGAATTTAAGTGAAAACAAACAGGAAATGCATTATCAGATTTCTATTTTTAATTATTACAACTGCAAGCATTTTTTTTTATAATTACATGCACACCACAAAACTAGGGATGAAAGCTAACAAAATCAACATGGTTAATTTTTAAGCATTATTTCCTAGCATTGACCCACCATCCATCCTCGGTGCCGAGCCACACGGAGCTCTGGTAGGCCTCGGGGTCGATGCTCAGCAGGTCCTCCAGGCTGGCGCGGGTGAAGGAGCCTCGACTGGAGCGGCGCATGGCTCGTCCATCCATGGGGCTCTCAGCACTGAGGCGAGGGGCTCCAAAAGAGCTGGGCACTGGGAACTCCTGCTCCTCCTCTGAGCTGGTGGTCTCTGTGGCCATGTCCTTCGCCACCACCGCTTCATCATCTGACAAACACACAAACAGCATCACTGAGAGCTGATCTAAGTAAAAGTAGCATATTTTAAAATAGGAGCAATACCAGCATCATAGATGTGACATTTGCAATAAAAACTTTACTTACAGAGAAAGTATTTGTTAGCATTATATTGAAACGTCTGTTTATATTTTCCAAAACTACTAACCACAGAGTTATGGGGATAAGAAAAATATCTATCTGTGAACATGTTTTATATATGAAATGAGGTAAATAATCATGTGTGATGTGACCAAAAAAGTCTGTGAAGTCAGTATACAACATACTTTGTAGAAATTCCATTAATTAAACTGCACAACCTAAAAGAATCAATGCTCATCAAAAAGACGAGTCAGTTTTGTTTAACATTTCTGCATTGATAAGGGAAAGGCTTGGTTATGGATGTGACTGATGTGAAATTGGCACTTCTGTGACTTGAAATACAGTATAATTGCTTGAAAACATTGACAGAGACATTTGAGTATTTTAGCAGTAAGTTAAAATACAAATATAAAATACAATACACAAAAAAACCTAGAAAGGGTTTCGCTATTTTGGTGAAAACATATTATTTTTTTAATGCAAAGGTATGAGAATGAAATTACTCATAAGAAGTCTCTTCTGCGGCATTACAGTTTAATTTATATTCAAGAAGAAAACAGTAAGAACACTTAAAAAAATGTTCGCTGTTTGTTCAAACTGCTTTTGTAAAGTGAGCTAAAACCACAAAATTTCTGTTTTTTTTGTTTTGTTTTTTGTTTGGGGGCTTAATTGTTTTATGTTCAATTCACTTACATTTGTAAAAACTATTAAGTTAATTTAATCCCTTTATTTTGTCCCAAAACAAGTCAATTGGACAAAAACACCCACCAACATAACGAAAAGGTGGTCAATTTGAACAGTACACAAGGTTGCATTTTTTTACATTGCTTAAAGGGTCACGAAACACCAAAACACATGTTTTAAGCTGTTGACAGTGGTATATGTGTCCCACACTGCTAAAAACACTATTAGGACACCTATATTTCACTAAAAAGTGTAAATTGGTTGTTTTTGCGTTATTTCAAGCAAATTCGTACTTCCGGTTTGAAACGAATTTTTGAAGCTGCGTCACGGTCATGACATAATAGCGTGTATTCCAGCGTGCAGACTGGACGCCTGTGCCAGAGTGTGTCTTATTACGTCTTACAGTGTGCTGCATTAATGCATGAGTAAGGCTTGGTTCAAACCAATCAGCGCGCTCTATTGTGCAACTTCATTAATATTCATTACTGTCACAGTGTTTAGACGACAGAGACGCCACGTTGTGTTGGCAAAACAAGCGTGAAGTGTTGCTTTTATAGTTTGCTGCAGTTAAGTTTCGTTTTCATTTTCTCTCTGTGAGAGCGCAGCTGGAGTCACGTGTGGATTAACAATGTACGCGACGCTCGACAACAATAACTTACGTGTCTAAGGAGGATTATTGTTTACCTGAGAGCTGTTCTCATCTGCAAACGCTGAGATCCAGATTCGCTTTAGTCTCCTCTTAATAAAAATGCGGCTCTAGTTGCTGGTGATTGTCCTGTCTCTACAGATTTGGTAAGTGAGCGACCAGTGTTTTTTGTTTATTCAGTTCGTATTTTATTCGTATCGAACAAACTATTGCACCGAGTGTAAACATGTTAGCACCACAACCAAACTTTAACCTTGTATAGGATTTTCACCGCAATTAGTGACCGGAATAACACACGCGGCTTTCTGCACTACCTGCCGTGTGCATCTAAGTTTCTGGGAAATGCTGAGTTTTTTTTTTCTCTCATTCGCCGTGCGGTATCAAACATTGCATGAAAAATACACGCTTAGAGCAGTTCCTCGAATCAAATATCTCGTTTGTCGCGAGGGACATGAATGAATTCCCTGAATGAAAGAGCCAAACTGCAGTTAAAGTCCACCATTTAATAATTTGGCAAATAATTCGACTACAGATGTCCATGTAAACAGTCACTTTGTCCCCTGTGTGTGTGTATTTTGACTCTGAAACTCAGCGCACCCGCACCAAGCCTCTTTTCTTCCTCCGACACTCCCCCCTAAACAGAGCTGGACACGCCCACTTTTCTGACTTTTTCCCAAAGTAGAGGTGTGAAAACACCCTGCTGAAACGAGGGGGTTTCATGGCCCTTTAAGCATTTATAACTTTTTTTTCATTGTGAGCGTTTTAAACTCTAGATGATGGATAATAAAGCCCTAAGTGTCTTTTTTTCAAAGATACATAAACCGTGAATGTAGGCCAAATTATTCAGCAGCTGTTACTGTTTTAGTTTGGAAAGGTCAGTTTTGAGAAAGTGACGGTGTGAGAGAAAAGGACACCGATATAGTCTTATATAAACTTTGCACAGAAATCTTATTTTGCATGCTATCTTCATCAAATTTGAAATATAAACTCATTTGAATGCATATTTTTTCTAGGTCTTTACATGTTTTGTTTTATTTGGAAAAACAAATATTGGACACAGTACAATTTTTCTTTCTCATTACTTCATAATGTATAACTTTTCATATTTTTTAGCATGAAACTTTAAGTTTAAAGTGTCTTCTTTCCAATGATGCCTAATTTATGCTTGTAGCTCACTGGGGTGAAGAACTGCTACTATTTAAATTTAGGTAGGTGTAAACCCCCAAAAGTGAGTGCTGGCTAACAGGTTCAGCTGCTTCTTTGCTGGTCAGGGCTAGGCTGGCTGTGTGAATCCTACCTAACAAGTGTACTCAGTTTTTGTTCAGCAGGGGACTTTACTATCTAGGTTTATTTAATAATAATAATTTTAAACAGCATGTTTTTGTAGACTCACTGCCGAAGCTGGATGATATGGTGGAGTGTGAGGCCTGGCTTTGCAGTGTTGATGAAGGGCTGGGCGAGTCCTCATCGTCAGTGTCGTCGCTGTCGAAGGGCACGAGTTCTGCAGTGGGCACCGCTGGCGGCTCGCTGAGCTCCAGAGACGAGCCAGAGATGCAGATGTGGAGCTGTGGTTGAGTTGTCGCTGCAGAGTTTGAATCTGATGGAGCCGTCGGTGTGGAGTGAACCACACGCTCTCTGAAGGAGACACAATGAACATTTCGGACTATTCACAAGCATGCAAAAAGTACAGGCCCATAGGCAGCCTGGCTGGGGTGCTTCTTGTATTGTTTAAACCTATGCGGTCTTCATTGGGTCACACTTGTAAACCATGTAGGTTGAAATGTCCAATTAAATGTACCTTTTGAGATCTCAAGTGGAAGTGTGCTTACTTTTTTGTTATTGTTTTTGTTGTTTGTGTGTTTTTCTCATGATCTGACCTGTTCTTGAGTCCCGGAACAGTGGCGATGCAGATGATGCGAGCGGAGCAGACGGCGATGCAGGCCTCCACCGTGGGCTCGTCCCGGATGTTCAGCAGGCACACCTGACCAACGTAACCATCGCTGTTACACACCCACACCTCATACGTGTTCTCCGGGCAGCTGTGGCTGGGAGACGCACAGGAAAACTGCATCCCGCTGCGCGTCTTCATGATCGGGATGGCCTTCAGGAACTCCGGGTCCCACTGGTCCTTATTCATGGCTGGAGAAACAAGAGGAAAACACAGCAGATATATCAATATACAGCATCAATAAACATAACAGTTTTAATGACTCTAGGGCTGCTCGATTATGGGAAAAATCATAATCACGATTATTTTGGTCATAATTGTAATCACCATTATTCAAAACGATTATCAGTTGAAGTCAAAATTATTCATCCTCCTGTTAATTTATTTTTATATATAAATATTTCCCAAATGATGCTTAACAGAGGGATTTTTTTACAGTATTTCCTATAAATGCTTCTTCTTCTGGAGAAAGTCATATTTGTTTTATTTCAGCTAGAATAAAAGCAGGTTTGAATATTTTGAAACCTATTTTAATAGCTCGATATTATTAGCCCCTTTAAGCAATATATGTTTGATTGTGTGCAGAAGAAACTACTGTTATACAATGACCTATCTATTTACCCTAATTAAGCCTTTGAATGTCACTGAATACTAGTATCTTGAAGAATATCTATAAACTTCTTTCTGGACTTCCTTCCAAACTTCTCCATAAACTCCAACTGGTTCAGAACCATGCAGCTCGTGTCATCTCTAGGACCCCATCTCACGAGCACGTCACACCACTCCTCTATCAGCTTCATTGGCTTCCAGTAAAGTATTGAATTGATTTTAAAATATTACTTCTAACTTTTAAGGCACTTCATAATCTCGCTCCTCAATATCTCACTGAACTTCTTCATATTTACACCCCTTCTCGTACCCTTAGATCAGCCAACAACTTCACCCTAGTACCACCTTGCACTCGATTGAGCACAATGGGAGACAGATCTTTTAGCTCTATGGCTCCTCGGCTATGGAAATCACTTCCCCTAGATCTTAGGAGCAGTGATAGTCTTCACACTTTTAAATCACGTCTAAAGACCCATCTTTTTAAGCAGGCTTTTACTTAACAATTTTTTTTAATCATGTTTTTATTATGTTCTTTTATATTCGCTATTGTGTTTTAACTTGTTTGGTCAATGATTGTTTTTAGTAATGTTTAATTTGTTTAGCATGTCTGCTGATGCTTACTGTAAGGCGACCTTGGGTGTCCAGAAAGGCACCATTTATAAATAAAATGAATTATTATTATTATTATTATTATTATTATAAATATAATGTGTAAAATATAATGTGCTGTCATCATAGCAAAGATAAAAGTAATCAGTTTTTAGAAATGAGCTATTAAATCTGTTGTTTAAACTGTGCTTTAAGCATCTTCACTGTATTTTTGATTTTATTATTGATTCAAGAGTTCACACTTAGATATTGCTTGACAACTGTAAGCAGGTTTGGCATGCTGTCCCGGGAGAGAACCCTGAGCTCGGAGATAGTTGAGCCCAGGGCTCCCGCCAGGTCCATAGAGCATGTGAGGGGAGTACGAGATCAGGTGGTTCTCGAGAGCTCCCCTTTTTGTAAAGGAGAAAAGGAGGAGAAAGGAGTGGATGGGGGGTTTCTTCGGAAAACAAAGATAATGGAGTAATGTCTAGCTAGGCTACTTATAGTGAGTTAGGATAGATCTGATTGGCTAACTAATGAGTGTAGATGGGAGGCCAGCTGCAGTCAATTATATCACATGCTCCTCTCGAAATTAGTTTAAAAACTTCACTCAATAATAAAAACAGTCGGCAGCAGCAGGAATATCGCAAGCTGTCTTTTTAAAGGGTCACGAAACACCAAAACACATGTGTTGAGCTGTTGACAGTGGTATATGTGTCCCACACAGCTAAAAACACTATTAGGACACCTATATTTCACTAAAAAGTGTAAATTGGTTGTTTTTGCGTTATTTCAAGCAAATTCGTACTTCCGGTTTGAAACGAATTTTTGAAGCTGCGTCACGGTCATGACATAATAGCGTGTATTCCAGCGTGCAGACTGGACGTCTGTGCCAGAGTGTGTCTTATTACGTCTTACAGTGTGATGCATTAATGCATGTGTAAGGCTTGGTTCAAACCAATCAGCGCACTCTATTGTGCAACTTCATTAATATTCATTACTGTCACAGTGTTTAGACGACAGAGACGCCACGTTGTGTTGGCAAAACAAGCGTGAAGTGTTGCTTTTATAGTTTGCTGCCGTTAAGTTTTGTTTTCATTTTCTCTCTGTGAGAGCGCAGCTGGAGTCACGTGTGGATTAACAGTGTACGCGACGCTCAACAACAATAACTTATGTGTCTAAGGAGGATTATTGTTTACCTGAGAGCTGTTCTCATCTGCAAACACTGAGATCCGGATTCACTTTAGTCTCCTCTTAATAAAGACGCGGCTCTAGTTGCTGGTGATTGTCCTGTCTCTACAGATTTGGTAAGTGAGCGACCAGTGCTCTTTGTTTATTCAGTTTATTTGTATCGAACAAACTATTGCACCGAGTGTAAACATGTTAGCACCACAACAAAACTTTAACCTCGTGTAGGGTTTTTACCGCATTTAGTGACCGGAATAACACACGCGGCTTTCTGACGCTACCTGCCGTGTGCATCTAAGTTTCCGGGAAATGCTGAGTTTTTTTTTTCTCTCATTCGCCGTGCGGTATCAAACATTGCATGAAAAAAAATACACGCTTAGAGCAGTTCCTCGAATCAAATATCTCGTTTGTCGCGAGGGGCATGAATGAATTCCCTGAATGAAAGAACCAAACTACAGTTAAAGTCCAACATTTAATAATTTGGCAAATAATTTGACTACAGATGTCCATGTAGGTTAAACACTATCACTTTCTCCTGTGTGTGTCTGTGTGTATTTTGATTCTGAAACTCGCGCGTGCCCAAATAGACACTCCCACACCATCCCACTTTTCTTCCTCCAACACTCCCCCCTAAACAGAGCTGGACACGCCCACTTTTCTGACTTTTTCCAAAGTAGATGTGTGATAACACCCTGCTGAAACAAGGGGGTTTCGTGGCCCTTTAAGAATAGTGCGGCTCTGATATGGTTTCTCTTTCACGTGTCTTTTGACTCTCAACTTGTTAGTTTATTACACAAATGAGGGTTAATATGAATAATCACTAAACACCGCGCTCTGACACAAATGCGCATGTATTTGACCATTAAAGCGCTCACATTAAGATCGCGTTAGATGTGTGTGTGCTCTGCTGTCCGAGGCTAAGCGCGGCGCGCGCGCAAACACACACACACGCTACCTGTCCGAGGCCAGACACGGCGCGCACACACACAACAGCACGTGCTCTTTTGCGCTTTTAAAAATATGAATGATGCGCATCCCGTGCTGCAAAAGTTACATTACAGCACACGCTTTTAGTCATTTTCACGTGGAACTGAGCTTTGCAGAGGCAGAGTTTTCACACGTGTACAACTGGAAAGGGGGCGGTACGTGATGGGATAATCGGTTATCTCGATTAATGGCTTTTCATAATCGTTACAAGCCAAAATCGAAATCGGATTTTCGATTAATTGCACAGCCCTAAATGACTCATCTCTAATAACTGATTTATTTCATCTTTGCCATGATGACAGTATATAATATTTGACTAGATATTTTTTAAGATACTAGTATTCAGCTTAAAGTGAGATTTAAAGGCTTAACTAGGTTAATTAGGCAGGTTAGGGTAATTAGGCAAGTCATTGTATAACAGTGGTTTGTTCTGATGACACTTTAAAAAAAATGCTTAAGGGGGCTAATAATATTGACCATCATATGGATTTTAAAAAATTGAAAACTGCTTTTATTCTAGCCAAAATAAAACAAATAAATAATAAAAATATTATAGGAATTACTGTACTTTGATAAATATCGCTTGAGAAATATTTTAATAAGATTAAATATTGCGCAGGAGGGCTGATAGTTTAATAAACTTGCCCTCAACTGTCTGTGATGTGTATTGCAGCCTGATCTCTGAATATTGTCTGTGCTTACCGAGTTTCTTCTTGGCCTCCTCGAAGGCCTGCTCGAAGTTGCTGCGAGTGTCCGGACTGCTGAACTCAAAGATGAAGCTGCTCTCGGCTGAAGTGCAGCTCAGCTCCAGTTTAGTGGGCAGTAAAGTCATGCTGAAGGCCAGAGACTGCTTCTCGGCCAGCTCACGGTGAACCGACGCCATCAGATCCTTAATCACATCGTCCAAACTCTGACACAAACACACAGAGAAAAGGATGTCAGTCATTCTACATTGAAGTACATATAGATAGTCTGACACAACCTTAATATGTTTTCTTTGTAAAGTTGATCTGTTTATATACAGTTGTATACAAAATGTTTAGACCTCTAGATAATTGTAATTATTAAAAAATAAATAAGTAAAAACCTAAATATAATTTTGACCTTAAAATGATGTTTAAAAAATTCAACTTCAACAGTAGACATATATATATATATATATATATATATATATATATATATATATATATATATATATATATATATATATATATATACTTACACACACACACACACACACAAATATATATATATTTTTTTATTTTTTTATTTATTTATTTATACATATATATATATATATATATATATATATATATATATATATACATAATATTTTTAAATAATTATAGAAACATTTTTTTATTTATATAAAATAAATATAAATACGCACACACACACACATACATACATATATATATATATATAACATTTACATACATGCATATATATATATATATATATATATATATATATATATATATATATATATATATATATATATATATATATATATATATGTGTGTGTGTGTGTGTGTGTGTGTGTGTGTGTGTGTGTGTGTGTGTGTGTGTGTGTGCGTATTTATTTATTCATTTTATATAAATAAATAAATGTTTCTATAATTCTTTAACAATATTATGTAATTTATAATTTAATATTTGTATTTATTTATTTATTTTTTATTACAATTATTTTAAAGTGCTGTTTAACAAAGAGAGAGATTTTTTTTTAGATATAATATTTTCTGAACTAATTTCTGATAAGTTTTTTTCTTTTGTTATAATAAAAAAATTTTCCTAATAATATTGACCTTAATTGTTTAAAATTAAAAACTGCTTTTAGTCCAGCCCAACTACAAGAAATAAGACATCAACTGAGAAATGATTGAAAAAGAATAAAAATTTCACAAGTTTGCCTTCAACTGTGTTTATTTTAAGTTCTAAATATGCACAAATATAGTTGAGGTGTATATGCATTCAACATTATTTTCTGTACTTTTTTGCTGCTGTCTACAAACTAAACAAATATGTAATACACCAGGAAAAAAAAACTAATAAATAAAATGGATGCTTGTTATGTTAATAAATGGAAACATACAGATGGACAGACCTGATGGGGGAAACTGAGTGTTTCTGACAGTTTGCTGACTTGTCCAAGTGTGCTGAGATCTTCATCCAGACGACTGATGGTTTTCTGGACATTTTCTCTGTTAGTGGCTTGATTAGAACCTGTGAGGAAGAAATGACAAAAAAAAAGTCAAAGCGAACAGAAAAACAAACAAACAATAAAACAGAATTAATAAACAAATAAAATAAAATTATATATATATATATATATATATATATATATATATATATATATATATATATATATATATATATATATACATACATATATGTATACATATATATATATATATATATATATATATATATATATAGACCATTTTGACGGATGTAAACAAAAACTGGTCCCAATGTATTTCCTGTTTTACATTTTACATTTCTACAGCTTCGGAGAATCCAAAAAGACCCACATATTGATAAGTAGTGTAATATAATGTAATGATCGTTCTTTTAACATTAAGGTATGATTGAATTGCCTCGTTACAGTAATGAAATAACATACAGGAAATGTTCATGGGCCAACGACATCACCACATTGAAATGGTCTATACACATGATGATCATAATAATACAGAAGATGAATAATAAAGTATATAATAATATAGACAGAATAAAATTCATCATCATAATATTAATAATGATTATGTTGATAACCAAAGAAACACACAAACAATAAATAGCATATAGACACTTTTCATTTAAAGATCATGTAAAAAGAATATTAATCTTAAAGAGCAAATATTAATAATAGACAGAATTATATGCATTAATAAAAATACTTAATAAATGAATAATATTTATAAAACAAACACACACGTTATTTAAAGGAGGACTTAATGTGAATCAAAACTTTAAAAATAAGGAAAAGTGCAAGCATGAATATTCAGATGATAATAACTACCTTTCACCACCTCTATGTCTTCTAAAGGCAGTTTCCACAGGAACTTGTATTTACTGGAGGTGTCGATGACACTAGCAGCAGAATATCTGAAAGACACAGAAAAATAAACCTATGAGTTAAAGGTCTAGTCTCTCATTGACATTCACTCATTAAGCAGACACGACTTACAAATGATCCTGTAATGTATTAGCATTTTCAGTCTACACTGTGATCCTTAAATAAAGTCAATTAATACACCATCAAACGATTCTTGCTCTGGAAAAAAGCCTCACTGCATATATACACTGCAAAAATGCTTTTCTTACTTTGTTTTTTGTCTTATTTCAAGTCCAGATTTCTACAAATTCTTTAATCAAAAAGCATTTTCTAGACTAGTAAAAAAAGTCTTGTTTTGAGAAATAATAGGCCAAAAATTTGTGAGTTTTGTCTTAAAAAAAGCAAAATCTGCCAACGAGGTAAACTAAATAACTTTATGTCAAAAGGAAAAGCAATATTATTTAGCTTACTCCATTAGCATATAATTTCTTAAAACACAATTTTTTAATTGTAAGATTTTAGACTTTAAAAAAAAACACTTTTTGCAGCGTATGTATTTTAATATCAATTATTGTTACACTAAATGACGGGAAAAAAAACTCAAATTTGACTAGGATGCAGTTCCGCTGAGTGTCCACTAGGGTTCAGTGTTGTTCAGTGACGGAGCAGAAGAACTCGAGGGATTTCGCGGTTTTTCTAAAGTAAACAGTATTTTTCGGTTTAGTGGTTCATTTTTGACCCATAGGGTGAAGATTGTATACAGAACTCTTGGACCACAGAAGAATTAAAGCACAAAACAGAGAGAAGAATCACTCACAAACTCATGGAGCTCCTGCGCAGAGAGCCAGATTTCCTCTTGAGTGTGGTGCAGATCAGCAGATCGCTGAACAGAAACAGAGAGCGGTCCTTCTTCCCGCCCACCGTTTTCTGCACAAAGGGGTAGAAAGATCACAATGAGTTTATATTTTAAAATGACATGATTTCTATTTATTTATCTTGATTTATTTACCGCTTCCACCACCATCTCTTGTCTCAGGAACTTTCTCTGTGGGTTTAGGATCTGATAAAGAAAAAAAAAAAAAAACATTATGAGGACAAAGTAGCCGTCACACTAGTTAAATGTACATATTTAGTCACACACAAAATTGTATACAAAAAAGGTGAGCTGGTAACTTGTTCAGTAATCAAATTGTGGATCAAGCATGTTTATTTAAATGTCAAACTTTGTCTGTCTGTCTATCATCTATCCGTCTATCCATCCATCCATTCATCCATCCATTCATCCATCCATCCATCCATCCATCCATCCATCCATCTGTCTAATCGATCAATAGATCAATCTATCTATCTGTCTATCTGTCTGTCTGTCGGTCGGTCGGTCGGTCTGTCTGTCTATCTATCTATCTATCGATCTATCTATCGATCTGTCGGTCTGTCTGTCCATCCGTCCGTCTGTCTATTTATCTATCTATCCATCCATCCATCATGAAATACGACTACTACTAATAATCCTTCTGATTATAAATATTCTAATATTATTAAAATATAAAATAATTTACACTAATAATTTATCCTGAATAATAAAAATATTAAACTGAATTTAAAAGAATAATAACCGAAATTTTAAATAATAAAAGAAATTACATAAAAAACACTTCGTTGACAATAAATTAAGTAGTGTGGGTCCTGATATCTAGAAATACATTTTTTTATATGAAAAAATATCTATTTTCATATTTTTTTATTAAACTATAAAACATTTAAAACACTGAATAAAATAAATATTAAAAGAAATTTCAAATAATAATAAGAAAATGCATAAAAATCTGAAACCAAACACTAAAATGACTAAAGCTTGAAATAAATAGTGCACATAATGCTGTGTCTGTGTGTGTGTATGGCCTGATGAACTATACGTGTGCGTATAGTTGAAGTCTCCTAAATTATTAGCCCTCTGTATATATTTTTATCCCCAATTTCGGTTTAACAGAGAGATTTTTTCAACACATTTCTAAACAATAGTTTAAATAACTTATTTCTAATAACTGATTTATTTTATCTTTGCCATGATGACAGTAAATAATATTTGACTAGATATTTTTCAAGACACTTCTATACAGCTTAAAGTGACATTTAAAGGCTTAACTAGGTTAATTAGGCATGTTGGGGTAATTAGGCATTGCATAACGATGGTTTGATCTGTAGACGATTAAAAACAAAATATTGATTATGGAGGCTAATAATATTGACCTTATAAATCCAAAATAAAATAAATAAGACTTTTAACAGAAGAAAAAAATATTAAAGGAAATAATGTGAAAAATACCATGCTGTTAAACATCATTTGGGAAATCAGGAGAGTGAATAACTGACTTCAGTTGTATGTGTGGCCTAATGAACCCTCTGTGTGAGTTTGTGTGTGTCCTACATGTTCTACACCCTCGATGTGCGCCTCGATCTCCTGCATGACGCGTGTTTCTCTCTCCAGCTCCTCTGCACTGCGTCTGCCCTTGTTGATCCGCTCCGCCAAACGCTTGATGTTCTTCTGAGCATCCAACAGAAACAGGTAATCTGGATGATCCTCAGGAGTGTGTTTCAGCAGATCCTGACAAACACAAACACAACATCAGGTGGACATCTGGCAAAATTTGTTAAATCCGTATATAAAGACCAAAAACTACCACTAAATATGATGTTTAAAAATGTTAAGCAAATAATAAAATACAACATGATTATTACAACAAATTTATTATTATTATTATTATTTTTATTATTATACATTTATTATATATATATACATATGTATATATATATATATATATATATATATATATATATATATATATATATATATATATATATATATATATAATTATTATTATTATTATTATTACACATTCATAATTATTATTATTTTACATTTAGTTTTATACATTTATTATTATTAATATTATTATTATCATTATTATTATAAGCATACATTTATTATTATTATACATTTATTATTATTATTATTATTATCATTATTATCATTATTATTATCATTATTATTATTAATAAACATTTATTATTATTATTATTATTATTATTATCATACATTTATTATTGTTATTATTATTAGTATTATTATTATTATCATTATTATTATTATGAGCATACATTTATTATTATTATTATTATACATTTATTATTATTACTAATATTATTGTTATACATTTAGTATTATAATTATTATTATCATACATTTATTATTATTAATATTATTATTATTATACATTTACTATTATACATTTATTATTATTATTATTATTATTATTAATAAACATTTATTATTATTATCATACATTTATTATTATTATTATTATTATTATTATTATTATCATTATTATTATTATTATTATTATTATTATTATTATTATTATCATTATTATTATTATGAGCATACATTTATTGTTATTATTATTATTATACATTTATTATAATTACTATTATCATTATTATTATTACTAATAATATTGTTATACATTTAGTATTATAATTATTATTATCATACATTTATTATTATTATTATTATTATACATTTATTATTATATCTTACTGTATTATTTATTGTTTATTTTATTAATTATTTATAATAATAATGATCATAATAATAATAATAATTCGCCAGCTCAATGTCTTTATTTGAATTTATTATTCTGCCTTGCTTCAAAATCAAGACATGAAGATACAAAAGTTTAAGAAATAATGTGAGAGTCACCTTGACCAGCAGCTCGTATCGAGGGATTCTCTGAACCGGCTTTATCATCAGGTCACCCAGAGCTTGTTTCTCTCTGTTCTCACGCATGCTTTGCTGAAGAGGAAAGACAAACAATTACAGACAATTAACAAAACACAACAGTTCATAACAGCCCTGTACTGGAGAGCTCAGATCAGTTTGAGTTTTCACCACTAGAGGGCAGAAATCAGCGCATTCATTTCTCAAACCTTTTATGATTCAGCACAAACATTAAAAGCAGATAAATGAGAAGTTGCTACTGTGAAAAAAATATTTTGTTTATTGAAATAAAAATAAAATAAAATAAATTATCTGAAAAACTTAATAAAATAACAAAAAATTACAATCACTGGTTTGGCAGCTAAACAAAAACAAAAAAAAACCTGGACCTTTTTAAATACTGGGTTTAAATACGGGCGAGCCAGTGGTGCAGTAGGTAGTGCTGTCGTCTCACAGCAAGAAGGTCGCTGGGTCAAACCTCGGCTCAGTTGGCGTTTCTGTGTGGAGTTTGCATGTTCTCCCTGCCTTCGCGTGGGTTTTCTCCAGGTGCTCTGGTTTCCCCCACAGTCCAAACACATGCGGTACAGGTGAATTGGGTAGGCTAAATTGTCCATAGTGTATGAGCGTGTGTGTGTGTGTGTGTGGATGTTTCCCAGAGATGGGTTGCGGCAGGAAGGGCATCCGCTGCGTAAAAACTTGCTGGATAAGTTGGCGGTTCATTCCGCTGTGGCGACCCTGGATTAATAAAGGGACTAAGCCGAGAAGAAAATGAATGAATGAATGATTTTAAATACTGCACTTTAGTGACATTTTAAGCACTATTTTTTGCAGGATCAGAATGTCAGATGGTCATCATAACCACACTTTTTGATGTACCAAAAACATTTCCTAATTATTTAAAAGAAAAATAAAATACTTATTAAAAACACTATTTTTCAAATACAAATTTATTACATCGTATATCATTAGAAAAAAAAAGAAAAATCTGCTCAAATTTTAAATTAAAAACTAGCCTATTGTCATTTATAAGATAAACACACTGGTCAGCACATTCAACTCTCCTCAATCATGCCAAAGCAACAGAAGAACACAGGCTTCCGCTTGGTCTTAAAGCAGGGGTGTCAAACTCAGTTCCAAAAGGGCCGAAGCCCTGCACAGTTTAGTTCCAACCCTGCTCCAACACACTTACCTGTAGGTTTTAAACAAGCCTGAAGGACTCAATTAGTTTGATCAGGTGTGTTTAATTAGGGTTGGAACTAAACTGTGCAGAGCTGCGGCCCTTTTGGAACTGAGATTGACACCTGTGTGTTAAAGGCTTCTTTGATGGGTTATTTTCACAATTTATTATCAAAATAGAACATAATGAGCTTGTGTACGGGACAAATTTGGGACCTTTATCACTGAGAGGTGGGTCTTTCGAAGAATAAAGCAACAAATAAAGCAATTAAACAACCTTTTTTTTTTCTAATTAATGCAATTTCAAAACCCAAATAAATAAAAGTATTTCATATGGTGCAGAAATAAAAGAAAATACACTGATTTAATGGAAAATGTACAAAACTAAAGTTAGTCATTTTACTTTGGGAGCTAAATAAAAAAACATTAAAGAAAAGCAATTAAAAAAAACTATTAAAATATTAAAATAACTTTTAAAAATGACACAAATACATAACTAAAACCATATTATATTTAAGAAAATAAATACGATAAAAACAGCAAATAACTAAAATAATTTTAAGTACTGGAATTACTAATACAAATATATATATATATAAAGCAAACAGTTTTTTAAATATTAAATTATACTTAACAACTAATTAACACTAAAAGACTAAAATAAATCAAAAGTAAAACTAATTATAATATTAGCATTAATATGAAAAATTAAACCAAAACTAATAAAAATTAAAAAACACAACAAACAACAAATGATACAATAAAATCTGATATATAGTGAAACACTAAAATAATTGAGTAAAGCTAATAAGACTTCAAATAAAACAGCCAGCTGGCTTAAATAAGGAAGCTTTTTTTTACTATTCACCATTTTGTACCTTTAAAATACAAAACTTATTAAGAGTACAACTAATAAAGAAATTATATAAATAAAAAACATCAAAATACAAGATGATGAAGGCTATTTATAAAAATAAAAGCGTTTTACAAAATATGAATACATACTAATATTAACTATACCTCTAAAATAACACAGTTACACCTCATATGTCTCGCCATCTCCAACTAAAGACGAAAAATTCCAACATAAAGATAGAAGATGAACCTCTTCAGCATTATTTATTTGCAAGACAAAATCCATTACACTCTCAGAAATAAAGGTACGTGATCTGTCACTCGGGTGGTACCTTTTCAAAAGTACAAATTAACTGGTATATAATAGTACCTAAAAAGTATAAAAGTGTTCCTCTTAATTTTTTTAGGTAGTAATATATACTTTTGAGATACCAAAATGGACCATTTAAGTACAAATGTGTACCTTTTGAAAAGGTACCACCCCAGTGACAGCTCATGTTCCTTTATTTCTGAGAGTGTAAGTTTGGCAATGTGATGTTTTAATCCGGCTCTCCATGGTTTCTGTTTTAGGCAGAAAAAAACTGTACTGTACCTCCAGAAACTTGAGGAAAGCAGGTTTGGCCTCCTTGGCGATTCTCACAGCGTCTTTGGCGTTCATGAAATTGTCGATGTATGCAGAATAAATATTAGCCAGAGTCTCTTTGGAAAACTGAGGAAAAAAAGAGGAGATAACATCAGTCAAGAGTATTCAACTTAGCCTAAAGATCACGGATAGAAATTGAGGTAATGCTGTTTTGTATTCGCATATTAGTTCATTTTTAAAACTTGTGACTTGCACATTGAAAGTCTGAAACAGCATAAAGTAGGACTTCTAAACAACATTAACACTGTTTAATTTAATTAACTAAACAATGCTGTATTTTAAAAGTCATCTAATACGATTTCCCTATTTAGAAATGCTTTTCTGAAATTATAGGCTATAATTGAGAAAGTTTGAATGTTGGAATATAAAACCAACATACCTCAGTCGAATAGAAATGTTTGAGGTAGAATATTGTCCTCAGAGAGTTTTGAAATATGTTATATTAGGGATAAAGTACATCCAGGAGGTTGTTATTGCAGAATAAAGCCTGACAGCATTGTTGTATCAGACTGAAGGACTTTATTCTGAGAAAACAACCATCCTGGATATACTTTATCCAGCTTATTACATGGCTACTTGCAACAAAACCTAAACATTACACACAAAACATAGTTCTGAGCCGTAATAGTTCATTAATGCTATAATTAAAGCAAAGCAAGCTAACAGAAACGCAAACAGTTGATGGAGTATTGCGTTGCACAATGCTAACCTGCGCATTACTCAGTCACAAGATGGCGCCAAACGGACAAAAACGCAAAGCTGACAGAAACGAAAATGGCTGAATAAAGCATAAACTAAGTATTATTCATTCACAAGACGGCGCCAAACAGTCAGAAACAAGTCCAAAACTGTCAAAAAATGCAGCGTGACACTGACAGACAAGCAGACGCATATGAATGTGGATGCACTTTTAACGGCATTCTCTGACGGTTGCAGTGACTTGAAGTTCCCGGATAAGCCTGTATTAACTGGGAATCATTTTATGATTGACCAATCAGAAGCGGGTATTCCAGACCACCATGTAATAAAATACCATTAAAAATGCTTCTCAGCGTCAACAAAGAGCTTAGAATGACCAAGAGGCGACACTCAATAGAACGTTCCATTGCAGCAGCAGCGCCCAGCAACAGCCCTGGATTAGGCCATTTTGGAGTGAAAGTGATCGCCCCTAGATTGGATCTCATTACTGTCGCGATGGCTAGCAGCTGCTTTGTTATTTATTTATTCATTTAAAAAGCGTATTAAAGCTGAGATACAACCTAAATGACAACAATACAACATTTATTATCACAATCATCAGCACTTTTAATAGTTTGTTTTACAGACTTATAATATGCTGTTGTTCTATTGGAGTTTTCATTCCAAAATGGCCGCCCCTCCCTCTAGTGGCTGTTTCTGAAATTACACTAGGGTGTCGCCTCTTGGTCATTCTAAGCTCTTTGGCTTTATACAGTATGTGGATGATGGAGCTGATAGAAATAAATAAATAAATAAATAAATAAATAAATAAATAAATAAATAAATGAATAAATGAATGAATGAATGAATAAAATTAAATTAAAAATAATACTTAAAAAATAATGAAACTATCTGAACTTAATCTGAAACCCTCAAAGTAACTAGATCATATGAAATAAAAAACAATGAACATGTATTCTAATAATTAGTACTTATCCTATAAATAAATTTAACAAAGCTGTAATCTAAAACTACTAAAACTATGAATAAATAAAATAATAAACATAAAAGTGATAGTAATTAAACTACTAAAACTAAATATAATAAAAAGCTAGTTGAAATTAGTTGAAAAAGCTTTTTATTGGTCATAATACAAAATAAAACAGGCAAAAAGCTGAAATAAAACGCTGAAGTACTCAAAAGTCAAAATATAAATAAGATAAACTTGGCAACTAACTGAAGCAAACACAAGCACTACAATTACCAAAACTATGAATACAACACAACAAAACAAAAATTACTGAAATTATAAATGAAATAAAGTAAACTAAGTTACAGTTACAGTATTAAAAACAGTAAAACAATAAGAAGTAAATACACACACAACTTACTAGACTACAAAATAGCAATAATAATAATCAAATAAGCTCAAGTAATAAATTACTGATACTAAAATAAAATAAAACAGGCAACTAGCTGAAGTCATTTGGAGTACTACAATTACTAAAAATAGAAAAAGACAAATCAAGTAACTAACTGAAATATCCTAGAAAAAAGGTCAAGATCAAAAACGCCAAGACTTTATACAAAAAGAAAAAGAAACTAAAGATTTTATACATCCACGTGGTGCACAGGTTTCCTCAAGTCTAGCTCTAAGTTGTTCTTAACATTAAACTGCACATGAATGTAATATAACCAACCAAATTAAATAATTTAATATTTTAACTTATGAAACAAGGTGAATGACCCATGGTTTTCATGTTTTACTCCAGCATGTGACTTTCTGTTATTTAATAAAAGAGGATAATGCTGCTTTCTTGCAGAAGTTATAGCAGGACTTTTTAAGGGACAGTTCACCCAAAATATGATCTTTTACTTGCTGATTACTCTCCCTCAAGTGTTTTTAAACATTTATTCTGTTAAACGCAAAAGAAGACATTTTGAAGAATGCTGACAACCTGTAACCATTGACTTCCATAGTCAATGGTTAAAGGTTTCCAACATTATTTAAAATGTCTTCTTTTGTGTTCAACAGAAGAAAGAAACTCATAAAGGTTTGTGATAAGCAAAGAGTGAATGAATGTTTTTTTGTTTGTTTGTTTTTGTTTTTGTGTTGCTCCTGTTATGTCTCAAAGCTTAAAATTGAAAAACATATTGAAGTCCCCATTGAGAGAAATCACTTCCCGACATCATAACATAACCATAATCATTACAAAACTAAACTACACCCAACTGAGCCTTTCAGTTCATATCAGAGTGTTCAAAACAGCAGCAAAGCAGATCCTCATTAACCCCTTAAAGGTGCATTTCACCAGAAAAAAATAACATTTCCTGTTTATTTACTCAAGGTCATCCAAGATGTAAGTGACTATTTTTTCAGTACAACATTAAAGGAGATTTTGAGCAGAATATAATGGCAGTGAAGCGAAATGATCAGTCCATTTAAGAAATTGAACATTATTTACAACATTATTACAGTAGCTTTAATCCACTGCCTGCTCAAACAGTTCTCGGAGCAAGTGCAAATGCAGTCCGGTCTCAGTTTCATTCTAATTACACTGATTTGATGAGGACCTAGTGTGTGTGTGTACTGGTTTTAGCAACCTTCTTAGGGCCTAATTAAATATCTCTTTTATAGTGAAATATTATGACAACTCTAGTGAAGATATTTTACTGGTCCTCATTAGTTATAAAGACTTAAAAATACACTGTAAAAAATACTGACTTTCTTTCATTCATTCATTCATTCATTCATTTATTCTGTCATTTTCTTTTCGGCTAAGTCCCTTTATTAATCTGGGGTGGAATGAGCCACCAACTTATCCAGCATGTTTTTACACAGCGGATGCCCTTCCAGCCTCAACCCATCTCTGGGAAATATCCACACACACATTCACACACATACACTAAAGACAATTTAGCCTACCCAATTCACCTGTACCGCATGTCTTTGGACTGTGGGAGAAACCGGAGCACCCGGAGGAAACCCATGCGAACGCAGGGAGAACATGCACACTCCACACAGAAACGCCACTGCGTCACCCCATATATATATATATATATATATATATATATATATATATATATATATATATATATATATATATATATATAATAAAGTACTTTTATTTTTTGAGCACAGCATCAAAAATTAAGTTACTGCATCTTAGCATGTACTTCTCGAGGTATAGTCAAGAGGAAATAACGCCTCTTCCTCAGTCACCTTTCCATCAAGCAAGTTTCCCCAGAGGTGGCAGTAAGGCACCAAAAACTTTGTTGACGACCACCGTAAAACAGGAAGAAGAAATCGTCATTCCCGCTATCATATGGATTTACTTTCATCGGCTAGACACCGGCCTCACAGCTCAGTGAATGTCAGTGCCGTTTAAAAAAAATAATAATAAAAAATAACGCTTTTATTCTAGCCAAACTAAAACAAATAACATTTTCTCTGGAAGAAAAAAAAATGATAGGTAATACTGTATTCCTTCCTCTGTTAAACATCATTTGGCAGATATGTGAAAAATAATAAAAAATCCACAGGAGGTCTAATAATTCTGACTTCAACTGTATACAAGTATGTGTGTGTGTGTGTGTGTGTGTGTGTGTGCGTGTAAGACAGAGCGGCTCCAGCATCACGTCAGCACAGACCCAAACAATGTAAGATCAGAGGGTTGAGACACTGCGGCTCCACATCAGCTAATAACCAAAACCTCCACATCAACCCAAACAAACACCTGCTGTCCATCAAATCACTGTCCAGAGACATTCACACACTACTATCAGCTGGAAACACACTAATCTCAACCCTGAGCTCAAAACTGAGTTACGTACAGAACAAGCTATTGTGTTTTGAAGGGGGCTAGGCAGGTCAGGTACTAGAGAGCATTTGATTGGTTGGAAGATTTGATGAGAAACTGAAGTATGAGGTGACGTCGAAAAAATCATTGATCCATTAAGTGACAAAATGCAAACATTAAGGTTAAAAGAGCCGCTATTATGGGTTTTTTGAAAATGACCTTCCATGTAGTGTGAAAGATCGAAGTGAAGTGAAAGATCCAGCTTAGGCTTAAATCTTAAAGTGGACAGTGTTTAAAACTGTTGATTCATCTATAAAAGAGTCGACTCAAAGTGGGGTGGGGGGTGGTTAGGGTGGCGAGGTGTCTGAATAACACCGTTGAGAACTGGGTACTGTTTACTGTGTTTTTAGTAACGACTATGAAGTGTGTTTTGGGCGGCCACTGCGATCGGATCCAATAACAATGTTGGCGACCCAGGGGGTTTCACAAAACATACCAAAAATGCTATGTAATATAGAATGTATTATAAAAAAAATAGTACTTAAACAGTATATTAATATTTTGCAATTATGCTATTATAATAATATGTATTACAACTAGTTATTATTCTTATTATAAATGTAATAAAATAAATTACATATAAAGTAACATAAAATGCAATAAAAACAATTACAAACAAAATAAAAAATATATATAAAATAAAAAATCTATTTGGTTCTGTCTTGATTGTTCTCAAAAAGGCATGACAACTAATATTTTTATGTTGCAATCCAGCGCTTATTTATTTATTTGTTTAATATATTCCTGTTTTATTTGTATTTTTTATTGTGTGTTTTTATTTGGTATGTTTGTATGTCTTTATTACATTTACAATAAAAATATTAATTTGCAATATGCAATTTTTTAAGTTTTGCAATGTCTAACTAAATATTTTTAGAAAAAAAAATAAGTCAGCAAGAATATTTTTAGTGTGAAATTGGTGTTTAGCAAGAACATGACGTGATATTTATATGCACTGTGACTTTAAACCTTAAACATATATGACTTTGTTTCACCATCAGCTCTGATTTCTCCAATGCAGCATGAATGTAAACAGTACAGAAACAGGAATACGAGTCTCACCGACTGAATGAGCACGTGTCCGATGGTCTGCTTGTCGTGCCACTGGTGAACACAGTCCAGCACCTGCTCCAGAAACTGCTCATGGTGCTCCAGGATTTCTGGGATCTGGTAAAACATCTCGTCCACAAGTGACGGGTCACACAAAGGCGGGTTTTCTGGATGCTTCAGCGGCTTCATGTAGCCCTGCACCCAAAAACACAAAGACAGATCTAAAACAAACCTGCATTTATGCAATTTATTGCTGAAACCATAAATGCATCACTGAAATGTGCACATCTGACACATTTTTACATTCACACATTTTCTTAGGCTGAGAACTGAATGCACTAAAAATAAAGATGAATATGCATTAATACATATCAATCAATATGCATGCAATAACAGTGAATATGCATGAGTAAATGAGAGAATGCGTGTGTGCGCATGTAGTTAGGGACAGACTGTAATTAAAGGAAATGCCTGACTCTTCCTCTGGGATGTAAACTGTGTCGCATCAAATGCTAACAAACATTCTGCTCCGACTTTACTGACACAAAACATGGATTTCTGAACAATAATTTTCCTAACAATCAATAAATGACATCAAATGTCCATTACAAATGATTTACCTTCATATAAAATCAAATAAAATTGAATATTAGTATATATAAGAACAGTTATTAATATTAATAATATATTTACTGACAAAACAACAATACTTCCTAAAAAGTAAAATAGTATCAGATTTAGGGCATCAATATCGCAATGTGTGCATCCTAGGATATGCAATGTTGAGTTTATATGTCGGGATTATATTTGAGCAAGAGCCAGAATTTTGACAACATGATATTTGTGGAGTTTAACCACAGAGTGAAAGTTTATCATCCGCATATGTTTATAAGGCTGTGACTGTGCATTCAGGAACACAAAACTGTGCCATTTGTAACTGTAAGCCATGTATATTTCACTTTTGATCTTTGCTATACTGTATTTATCTATGCTTTAAACTGATTATTATATTTTATGTATGATGCACACCCAGAATATTCCCAAATCAGTGTAAATAAATGCTTTTTTAAATAGAGCTAGATCCCAGGGCTCTAGAGTGCAACCTAATTTCTTAATATTGAAAAAATGATCTGAGGTCACACCGGTGTGACCAGCCATTCAAGCGCAAAATAAAGTCTCTGTGACTGTGGTTATATGGATTGTGCTGATGCACCTAAGAAAAAAAGTGCACCAGTGCAAAAACCAGTTAGGCACGCCATTGCAACCAGTGTCAAAAGTTAGTTTAGAGCCCTGTTTCTGGTGATATTGAATTCATCTCGCAATACATATTGCAGAAACACAAAATATCCCAATGTCATATTTTCCCAATATCGCTGAGCCCTAATCAGAATGTTATTTATCAATAAATAACATCAGATGACAGAAAATATTGCATATTCGTAGGTATAAGAACATAAATTAATATTAATAAGTCTTTACTGACGCCAAACAAAAGTTTCTTCACAACAAAAAAGCATCAACATGCTATTTATTTATCTGTAAATGACCCAGATGCCACTTACAAAATATTTATCTTCTATAAAATCACATGAAATTGCATATTAGTAGGTATAAGAAAACTTATTATAAATTAGTTCTTCCACAAAATATGAACTTATAAACAACAAAGTATCAAAATCTTATTTATGTATTAATAAATTGCATGAAATGTCAATTGTAACTCATTTTAATTTGATAAAATCACATAAAAACTGCAAATTACAATGTATAAGAACATTTATTAGTATTAATAAATCTTTACTGAGACAAAACAACACCTGCTTAACAACAACAATGAAGGAAAATGTTATTTATTAATCAATAAATTGCATTAAAATGTCAATTACAACTCATTTACCTTCTATAAATGGCCTATTAGTATGGTTTAAAACTTTTAGTAATATTAATAGCTCTTTACTGACAAAACAAAAACTAAAAAAGAATCAAAATGCTATTTATTTATCAGTAAATAACACCAGATGCCACTTACAGATTTAACTTCTTTTAGAGTACGACCTAATTTCTCAATGGTGAAAAAAATCTGATGTCACACCGGTGTGACCAGCCATTCAAGTGCAACAAAAAAGTCTCTTTGACTGTGGTTATATGGATTGTGCTGAAGCTGTTAAAAAAAAAATGGGTGCACCAGTGTAAAAACCAGTTAAGCACACCAGTTAAACCAGTTTAAAATTTAGTTTAGAGCCCTGTATCTGATTAAATTGTATTTATATCGCAATACATATTGCAGAAAAATATTGCATAGTCATATTTTTCCAATATCGCTTAGCTCTAATCAGAATGTTACTTATTAATAAATAATACCAGATGTCAATGATAATTAATTTAACTTCTATAAAATTAAGTATTAGTAGGTTTAAGAACATCTATTAATCTTAATAATCTAAATCTTAACAAATGATTTCACGTCTACTGTATAAAATCAGATAAAATTGCATATTAGTCGGTATAAGAACATTTATTATTCTTAATAAATCTTTACTGAGGCCAAACAAAAGTTTCTTCACAACAAAAAAGTATCAAAATGCTATTTATTTATCTATAAATGACACCAGATCCCACTTACAAATCATTCGACCTCTATAAAATTACATAAGATTGCACATTAGTACGTATAAGAACATTTATTAATATTAATAATATTTTAAATGTAATTTTTTTTCTAATTCTAAACATGTTAAAATGATTTCAATAATAAACATTTGAATACTTTTAAATGCAATTTTTTTTCTGACTTTTATTTTTGAAAACCATAAAAAAAAATGTCATATAAAAATAGACGTTTTATTATTAATGTAAATATGGCCAATTTACATCTAAAGTCGACTTATATTACAAAAAATAACAAATGCAACATCAATTAAAGTAAAATATTGTGATCTTACCATGGTACAATGATGCATAATAAACTATATAAATACACACCAACAACTAAAACACAAAACCAATTATCATAAAACCAAATAATCATATTCATATATCATGTTATTCTCATGATACTGCGCTGATATTGGTTTAAAAAAGCCTGTTAATATTGCAGTACAAGTCCAAAATCAACACACAAAATCAACTGTGTCTGTCTCAGGTCACAGGCTGGTTCATTTTATGCTGTTTTGACTAGAGCACATCTGGCCAATGATCTTCATACGTGCTTGAAAACATGATGAACACTCTCGTCTTTCATCCATCCTTCATGTAGATCTCCAACACCTTCTTCAGATCTGCACATCCACACCTTCACGCTGATATACCCATAAACCCCTGCTCTCACGCCATTTACCAGTGCTGATGTAAAACACTGCCTTTAAGACCAGACACTCCAGACAAAACATTTTTCACCTGTTAATTTACAGATTTTGGGCTTTTTTTTTTTTTTTGGTACTTTTCATTCTAATGGAAATTAAAATAATAATAATTTTCTTTAATATTTTCTCTAATAATAATCTTTCTGACAAATGAAGTCATATAAGAAAATTCTTCAAAATGAATATGAAATGAATGAATAAATACATTAAATAAATTAAATAATTTAATACATTACATAAATTAAATAAATAATTAATTCATTCATTCATTTTCTTTTCGGCTTAGTCCCTTTATTAATCAAGAGTCACCACAGTGGAATGAACCGCCAACTTATCCAGCACACGTTTTACGCAGCGGATGCCCATACACACCCATTCACACTCATACACTACGGACAATTTAGCATACCTAATTCACCTGTACCGCACCTGGTGGAAACCCACGTGAACGCAGGGGGGAACATGCAAACTCCACACAGAAATGCCAACTGACCAGGTCGAGGCTCGAACCAGCGACCTTCTTTCTGTGAGGCGACAGCACTACCTACTGCGTTCACTGCGCCATATTTAAACATAATACTTGAAGTCGTGCAACAAAAAAATGCTAAATAAATAAACGCAAATGGAAATGAAATAATAATAACTTTCTTTATTTCTCTTTCTGACAGTATATGAAGTCATATAAGAAGATTCCTCGAAATGAATAGGAAATATGAAATAAATAAATAAATACATTAAATAAATTAATTAAATAAATACATTAAACAAATAAAATAAATTAATTAAATAAATTAATTAAATAAATGTATTAAAATAATAAATTAAAGTAATTAAATAAATTAATTAAATTAATGAAAATAAATAAATAAATAAAAATAATTTATTTAATAATTGATTAATTAATTAAAAAATAAACAAACAAACATGAATTTTGAACATGAAGTTGTCAAAATATTTAGGCTTTTGTTTTTAGAAATGTGTGCAAATTATTGCATATTTAACTAAACAATGCCTCATTTGCATATTTAAAACATAAGACTTTAAATCGTACTACAAAGTATACTAAATAAAGAAATGCAAATATAAATGAAAATAATAATAATTTTCTTTATTTCTGTCTTTCTGACAAATAAAGTCATATAAGAAGATTCTTCAAAATGAATATGAAATAAAAAATATGGAATTAATAAATACATTAAATAAATACAATGAATTAATTAAATACATGAATAAAATAAATAAATTTAATACATTTAATAAATTAAATAAACAAAAATACATAAATAAATAAAATTAATAAGTTAAATAAAATAAAAATATATATAATTTAATTAATAATTAATTAATTAGTTCATTAAAAAATAAACAAACAAACAAACATGAATTTTAAACAAAAAGTTGTCAAAATAGTGAGGCTTTTTGTCCTAGAATTGTATGCAAATTACTACATATTTAACTAAACAATGCTTCATTAGCATATTTAAACATAAGACTTTAAACCGTACTACAAAATTTACTAAATAAATAAATGCAAATGAAAATAAAAAAATATTTTTTCTAAATATATTTCTGTCTTTCTGACAAATAAAAGAAGATTCCTCAAAATGAATATGAAATATAAAATGGATAAATAAATACATTATATAAATAAGTTAAATTATTTAAATAATATGAATGAATTAATTAAACTAATTAATTTAACAAATAATTTAAATTAATAAACTAAATAAATAATATAATTAATAAATTACTTAAAAATAAACAAACAAACATGAATTTTGAACATGAAGTAGTCAAAATATTCAGGCTTTTGTCTTAGAAATGTATGCAAATTAGTGCATATTAAACTAAACAATGCTTCATTTGCATATTTAATTTTTTTTTAAATCAAACTACAATTTTTTTTTTTTTTTACAATTCTTTATGTAATCCATCAAGTGGGGAAGTATGATGATAATTTTTCGTTTTTACACTATATATAAATATATATGTTTTTATTCAGAAGCACTCAGTATTGTTGTGGTTTTGGAGCAGCGCTGGTCACCCGCTCACCTTGTTGCCATGGCAGCCATGGGCACAGGCGGTTATGAGTCAGGAGAGACTGGAAAAGATGATTTGTTTCTCTGTTTGGCTTATTAAACGCAGTTTGAGGCTTCCGCTGTCACGCTTACAGTAACATCATGCTTCTGTCATTCAGTTCTCCTATTGTGCAAATCATCTGCGGGTGTTTTCATCAAACACAAATTGCCTATATTGTTTTTTATGATTAATGTTCTTGAAGCACTTGGAGATTTGCAGTGATATCAAAATGATAAAAGCTTCAGTCGAAGATGTTCTCAGAGCTGAAATCAGTCATTATATAAGGTCAGTCATTTATTTGCACAGCTACAGCTGAAGTCAGAATTTTATTTATTTATTTTTTTTATATTTCCTAAATGATGTTTAACAGAGCAAGGAAATTTTCACAGTATGTCTGATAATATTTTTTCTTCTTCCTTAAATCTTATTTGTTTTATTTCGGCAAGAATAAAAGCAGTTTTTGATTTTTTTAAAGCCATTTTTAGGTCAGAATTATTAGCCCCTTTAAGCTATATTTTTTCGATAGTCTACAGAACAAACCATCATTATACAACAACTTGCCTAATTACCCTAGCCTGCCTAGTTAACCTAATTAACCTAGTTAAACCTTTAAATGTCACTTTAAGCTGAATAGAAGTGTCTTGAAAAATATCTAGTCAAACATTATTTACTGTCATCATGGCAAAGGTAAAATAAATCAGTTATTAGAGATGAGTTACTAAATTATAATGATTAGAAATGTGTTGAAGAAATTTTCTCTCCTTTACAATAATTCGGGGGGGGGGGGGGGGGCTAATAATTCTGACTTCAACTGTATATAAATATGCCTTTCATACCTGAATGAGTGTGCGCAGAGACTCCACGTAAGACTGTTCAGCGTCCAGCAGATTCATCATCACATGTCTTCTCATATCCTGTAGAAAGACAATAAATGATCGATTAAACTTGCTGCAAAACATCATCTATGATAAATATACGAAACATACAATCCTGATGATGCAATAAACACAAAACTTCAGAATTATTAAATCAATGGAAGATAAGAAATGAATGATTTAGGCAGAATAGTGATGTCCAGAGGACTTTCTGCTATCATAAGGTCAACTTTCACATTTACCTAATCCATTGTACCTTTGTTTTCATTGGTCAAATAGTGAAAAAGTCTTACTTGAGCACTGCTAATCACACTACAATATAATAAAACATACCCAGAACACTTTTAGACCCTATTAGAATTTACCTGGCAACTATTAAAGAGCCCCTATTATGGGTTTTTGAAAATGACTTTCAAAAACACAGCTCTAAGTGAAGTGAAACATCCAGGCTTAAATCTGAAAGTGCACCATGTATAAAACTATCGATTCATCTGTAAAAGTCGACTCTGTGGATGAAACTTTTGCTGCGTCGGTGTGACGTAGATATGGAACTCAAGCCCTGCCCATTTGTTGTGCGTGCAAAAAATTGAACTCCCGGCCCCGCCCACAAACACTGAAGAAAGAAAAAGAGGAAGACAAACACTGTAGCAGATCCTGGTTGAATCATGTCGTGATGACGCTGTGCTCTGAAGTGTGAAGGAAAGCTAGTGTTATTTCCCTACCCATGGCTTAATTTGTGTCAGAACACGTCGGATCTGGATCCTCTGAAATCTGATCCGGCACCTCATTTTACCGATCCCTCTCTTCAACCGCCCTCCTTTCCCGTCCGCAGTTCACTTTCACTTTCTTCCGCGATCATCTTAACTTTCCTCCGCGACAACCCCCCGCTCTCCACTTTCGCACGCGACACCTCTCCATCCTCGGGTAACATGCTAGATCCGTTACCCCGATCTGTTCCAGGACCTCGCAATTTACAAATTAGGCACTGTCCCTTCCCAAAGATGAAACTTTGAAGAGTCAGTGGTTGAAGTTTATTTTTGCAAAAATACCTAAGCATTATAGCCCCAGCCTTGTGCTGTGCTCCTGTCATTTTTCTGACAAGTGCTTTAGCAATTTACATGCTTCCATCGGGGGATTCATCAGCTGTTTGTTAAAGGAAAGATCAGAAAAGACTATTGATGTATGAGACTTTGACAGAGCTTGACAAGAACTTTACAGTACACAGTTCATGGATCAGTTTCTTCCTCCATTTCACAGTGTAAGTACGTGCAATTAAAATGGTCACCTCCTTGTTTTGTCTAGCTTGAAAATTATGTATTTAATTATGTTTTGTTACATGTAACCGCTTGTATTCTCATTTCGTGTCTAATGCCACGTTGAAAATGCGATGCGTGCTACTTTGTTTACGTATTTAGTTCAGCTTTTTCCACTGTGTGGATTATTACTGAACGTGTGTTATAGTTAAGAATAGAGCAATATGCTGGTGTTTAACTGCACTGCTTTATTGCACTCCTGCATTGGGCTCACATGCCCCCTGCACTCTGACTACTTCAACAATGTTGATAAGTCGTGGTGGGCATTTTACTCTGTCTCGTGCTAAACGCTGTCGACCACTTGCAACAGGCTATCAACAGACCAATCCCCGCATATTAGCTTCGCGCTAAAGAGGGGTTTGGGAACTAATGAATCACTAAACGATTCATATGGGAGTTGTTAGGATAATTAGGTAAAAATAAATGCTGTTGGAGACCCTTCAAACCAAAATATGACACTTTTTTATGGAAAATAGGGGCTCTTTAAGGCACTTTGGTTTCTATAGTAATGCATACATACATAGAATAGTGAGGCTCCAATCAACCGTTTCCTGGTTACTATTTTAATAAAACACCCTAGCAATCACCAAATAATCACCCAGAGTAAATTAGCAACCATTGAAACACCCTAGCATAGTGGTTCTCAAATTGTTTTCATCAAGTACCACCTCTGAAAAAAATTGTCTCTCCAAGTACCACTAAAATGAGCAGTATTGAAATACAGTAGCGTAGTAGGCCCAGTAAAGCAGATACAACTCTGCACAGTTAAAAAAAACATGGCAGACTACCTCAGAAATATAGGCTATATGTCATGTATGGCATATTATATACATCATTTTTGATCAATTTTGAAATATATGTAGCATGTACATGACATATTTCATTCCTCTGCGTACCACTAGAAGGAAGCCCGCGTACCACTAGTGGTACTCGTACCAAAGTTTGAGAACCACTGCCCTAGCAGCTACACAGAGGACCCAAAAAAACCATTGAAACACCCTAGCAACACCTCAGAATACCCAACAACCACATTTCAATGTAAATAAAACACAAACAGAACACTTTAGAAACTACTTAAAATGTCCCAGGCAACAATTCACAAAACTAGAATCTTGTTTCAGATATTTACTGAATATAAAAATACATTTAATCATTTCACAGCAGTCAAGATCAGCTGTATGGCATTTCCATTGCTAGTAAAACACACAACATTATCATCATCATCATCATCACACACATTTTATAATGAATCTCTTTTAATGTCTTTTAGAGTTTGCTGTTTAATAATTTATTAGAAAAGCACTAGCAACCACTAACAAACCTCCTACTACACCCTTGCACCAAAAGCAACACACACACCCGCACAATTATAATGAGTCTCTAATCAAAATAAGAGTTTCCTGTTTACTAGTTTATGTCAGCCACTGAGCCAAATATGTGTGTGTTTCCGCCAGAGAGATGATAACCTTTTCTAACCGCTTCGATTCAGCCCTGACTGACCGCACAAACACATCTGAGCGAGACATTTGAAGAAAAGCGCTGATAATGGGCCAGATGTGGTGTGTGTCTTTCACGGTTAAATATGTTATATGCAGTATCCAGTGAAATGCCCAGCTCAAAGCCACACAGATGTGAATGTAATGGGAAACGGAAGTCACGTCCAGCGTTTGCCACCCAAAGTCACGTATACTGCACCATCTCATGGCTGAAGGACGTTCATGCAAACGTCACTTTTAAACGGCTTCGTGAGAACTGAGGCCTCGTCTGTTTACAGAAACACTTGCAGGGTTTCAGAAGAGTTTCTTTCTGAAGGAATATCAGTCTCATCCCACACTGAGGGCATTACAGAACAACACTGATGATGTAAAACTGTTTCAAATAAGTTCATAGAGTCATCTCGAAAGAATAAAAAACATGCAAGAGAGAACAAATAGAATTAAAATTGATCAAAATTGACAGTAAACTCATCTCTCAAAAGATTCTATTTCAAATAAATGCCTTTCTTTTGATCATAGGAATGCCTTAAACAGTGCACAAAAATAAACAGGTATAAAGCAGAGTAACATTTTATACACTAATATCAGTATATGCACTGCTAAAAGTTTGATATTGTGTTTACACAACAGTTTGACGGCATAATCGAGCATATAAAAAACAAAATCAAACACGGAGAGTCTAAGAATCCAGGAACTGTGAAAGGAACTACTTTCTTCTGCCGTTTATTCACATCTGCAGCTGACGTCGGAACAACAGAAACGGGTGCTACTTTACCAACGTCACTTTAGAGCTAGTGTTTGAATGATTGTCTAGCATAATGTCTAAAGACAAAGCCTGTGATTTTGCTGACATTTTAAGATTATACGGCTGAACAGCATGAAATGCCATCAGTCTACAGAGATTTGTGGCCGCTGACACACAGTATCTCCGAAATTATAAGTATTTTAAATAGGCTCTGTCCTTATAAATAAACTGCATAGCTGCAATCTAAACAACTACATTCTCGCCTAAAAAAGCCTCAAAAGTGCATTATGTTATCCAATTGCCGCAATTTTTGTCAAACTGTAGTGAGTTTATTGATCTGCTATGACTCTGTGGATGGAGTAATACAGAAGGGGGAAGAGGCTGTATGAGTGCTGTTATTACAGAATATTGCATGGCTATCAGCCAATCAGATTCGAGAACCAGACAGAACTGTTGAGTGTTGATATATATATATATATATATATATATATATATATATATATATATATATACACATACATACATACATACATACATACATACATACATACATACATATATATATATAGTGTTTCTTGATCAAATCAGAATTGTGGGACACTGAAGACAAATCATTAAACTTCTAAAATAATATTTTTTACAAGTACATCATTATTTACAGCAGTGCTAATATGGGACTTGAATGTACTTAGAGCAAAAATTAAAAAAATTGAAAGAAAAAAGAAAGAAAGATGAGGAGATAAAAGAAAATATTAAGATAGAAAAAAAACTAACAAAAGAATGGAATGATGAAAGATGACAGAATATAATATATATACATACAAATCAAAGACAAGAAGGGAATGATGAAATATCAAAAGACAAGAAAGCAGTGAAGGATCAAAGGAGAAAAGGGAAAAATCACCAACGATTAATGAAAAAAAGATGGAAAGAATGAAATAAAGAGATATTGAAGGAAAATAAAAGAACTGACGAAAGAATAAAAGAAAAATATTGAAGGAAGGAACGAAAATAAATAAATGACAAAAGATCAAATAAGAAAAAATTCAAACAGAGAAAAAAAATATTTAAAAATAAATAAAACAGAACCAAACGAAAGTAAGAGAAGAAAAAGAAAGAAAGAAAAATATTGAAAGAAAAAAAAATCAATGAAAAAATAAATAAATATACAAAGAACCAAACAATGAAGGATAAAAAAGTGAAGACAAAAAAATATCATGGGCAACACAGTGGCGCAGTAGGTAGTGCTGTTGCCTCACAGCAAGAAAGTCGCTGGTTCGAACCTTGGCTGGGTCAGGTGGCGTTTCTGTGTGGAGTTTGCATGTTCTCCCTGCGTTCACGTGGGTTTCCTTTGGGTGCTCCGGTTTCCCCCACAGTCCAAAGACATGCGGTACAGGTGAATTGGGTAGGCTAAATTGTCTGTAGTGTATGAGTGTGAATGAGTGTGTATGGATGTTTCTTAGAGATGGGTTGCAGCTGGAAGGG